TGAAATAGCGATAGAAGGTGGGTCACAAATAAGTTTGAAGTATCACCACTATTAGGTGTGAAGAATTCTTTTTGTGTTCTAAAGTTGTAAAAGGCGATGTGTTGATTTAACAGCTCAGTTTGCGACTGATATCATCCAGTGTTGAAAATGAAGTAAAACTGGTTTCTTCATAGACATCCTGCTTTTCATCTGAAGTGTAAAATAACCCAAAAGTCTGTGTAGGCTGTATGCTCTCCCCGCTTTTATTGTATGCGTGGCTAGTCGGAACTTTGCAGTCCTCGGCATTTCTGCCTCCAAGCTGGTGGCATACAACTCTGTACGCGCTACCTATGCTACCACTTTTTAGGCCCTACATCATGGTCCCGATAAATCCGCTTCCAGCCTTGTTTGCTCTGTAATATGCACTCGTTTGCTATTCCACTTCTATTTGATGGCACCATTCATACTATAATCTACACTGATGATTGTTATGTAATCACCCTATTCAGGGTGAATAAGCACAAGAATTTCACCCCTGGAAGGATCCTCCAAATATTATACACGGATCCACCACAAAACAGTCCTAAGAATATCCAGAAAGTAATTGGAGAAAATTAGACGGGACACATTAGAGCATTTTTTCGGTAGAGGAGATAGCTAAGTGATTGAATGCAAGCTTCGAAATAGTTGTTCCACATAACGAAAATGAATAAGAATTGCACATTTATTTCATTGGGTAAATTAGATTAAGCTTGATTAAAACATTTGCTGGATGTACTGTTTAAGCTGAGGTCAAAAAATGCATACTTCGATAGACCTTAATGCAACCCAAACCAGGGTTCAGTTCATCCCGAAGAGATTCGCACGGATATGCTGCCAAATGCACGAAAATTGCCATTTCTGATGGATTCATCATTTAATGCGCAACGTCATCGACTGACACCTAGTACCAAAAATATAAGCTAAACCAATGTAAATTTTTAAATCTTGGGAATTCACCAGACCTGTTCCCAGTGGTAGGTCTTCAAGCAATATCTCATGATTGGTTATATTCTGCGTCAGTCCTCAATGCCGAAGCTATTGTAACACTTTGCTTATTTGTTTAACTCTCCGTTTCGGTTTTGTAGGCACTTAAGGCTCCGCATTTGCGTCTTCGCTGGACGGTTTTGCCTTCGGACCATACCAGTAGTCCCCAGTCCTTCTCAACGTCGGTATTGAATATTTTGCCCGAGTAGTATGTCTTCATTCGGCTTTAGGGAATTGTTGTGGCGTAACCAAGAGTACTGTAGCAATGTGTAGCAATTTTAGAGTTATTTTTACAAAATTAACTGTAGACCACTCCAGTTAGTCGTTGATATACTATCCGGGTTATTTCCAAAGACGAAATAGCCGGGGGACTTGAATTTTAGTGGCAATAACCCATTAGAGCAGATGTCTGAACAAGTGAACAACTGCAGCACAGATATCAATGCAATCTAAAGTGGGATGATATAACTCGCAGAATGGAATTAGGATCAGAATCGGGATATGATATTTCGAAATGATTGTGAAAAAAAGAGGAAGGTCATTGTCAAAGTTACTGTTTGCCTATTTTGACAATAGTTTTTAGAACAACTTAAAAGCGATTGACCACTTAATTACAACATTAGGTTGTTAAAACCGGCCTCTATCTAAATAGGTCCTGTTCACAAAATCGGCTGCAAAAATACACGCCAAAAATCGGCCTAAATTTATCTTGCGCTAAGGAAATTTAAGAAATTCCTAAGATGGCCACTTTTATCAAGCACAACTGTAACCATATACTGGGTGGCAAGAGATGTAGCAAGGAATGGACTTTTGGGGAAATAAAAGCAGCCTTATGTGCTATAGGCTTATTATGAAATTAAAAATGATATTAGCAATGTCAAAGTGTGCATACAATACGAGAGTGTCAGTCCACAAAGTCGATCCATCCGCGTGGGTGAGTAAACGGTCTCAACACAAACGAAATGAGGGCGGATAAAGTGGCCAAGAGGATAGAGCGTCAGTGATGCGATCAACAAGTAGTAGTGGTAGTAGTCGGAAGGGGAGGATATACGAATCACGAAAAAATGAGGGGCTAAAATAACATAACAGTGAGTGTTTTTTGTGTGGCTGATAAGCATGCAACAGCAGTGAGGTGTGCGTGTGTACGAGAGCCGTCCAATGAACTATCAAAGTGTCGTCTTAGACATCGGCATTGAAGCCTCGACGAGGTCCAGGTAGTGTGACAAAGTTCAGATGATTGGGACCCACGCTGAAGGAGGTGTCTTCATCATCATCGGGGTCACTCAAACCCTCCTCCTCGCCTTCCACCTCTCGCACATCACCAGGAGCCCTGTCCAAGTGCTGTGACATCACGGCTTCACTTTCGTCGAAATCGTCAACTTCTTCGAGGGCAGCCGCTGCAGCTTCCTCTTCAGTGGCACCGGCATCGTCCTCATCCTCCTCGAAGAGGCCATTAAAGGATCGTGTCTCGGCATCAAATTGCTCATCCCGAGCTCCATAGACCGCATGTACGCCTGGAAGTTCTTCTGAGAGAACAGGCGCAGGTGTCGCTACCGGTGGCTGCCAGCTTAATCTTCCACCCTGAAAGAAGTGACAAGGATTTGCTCAGATTACATCCATAATAAAATGTTAATATTTTGCTGCAAGGATATTCGGTCTCCTTGGACTCGGCTTCTGGGCTTTTGCACGCTGGTGCCCTTCACAACGCTTTCAGTAAAAACTCGAGGGATATATGCTTAAAGCTGCAGGTGGGGTACTAACAAAGAAACAGATAAGAAGGTTAATACACATTTAATAATCTATAAAATAAAAAATTGTGCACTGAAATTTCGCTTTAAACTGATGATAGAAAAGTGTAAAAGGGAAGCTGCTATTGACAGGATACTGCTGCCTTGCAAAAGATGGAACTAAAAAGTTTAAAGAATAGAAACATCTACATGAAGCCATTGCAATACTTTATTTGTTCGTCTAACTCTCGGTTTTGGCAATGGATCACTTGGGGACTCCACCGTTGTACGTACACTGGAGACCCTTGTCTCCGGGCCATGTCATTAGCCCTCAAGCCCTTCTGTACGTCAACAGTACATATTCTCATCGAGTACTGTGTCTGCTTTCGTCTCCAAAGAAGTCCCGGGGTTCTAAATTAGTGACAGTATTAAGCGAACCCTATCCTAAAGGATAACTATTCTATTTTCTACTGCTGAGTGATGAGCCGTAGTATGACGCACGAGGTGCACACACTGCGGATAAGAAAATATGACGGCCCCTAATAGATTTAAAACGACGTATACCCTTGGAAACTACCCCAGTCCCGTGGTCTGCAGGGAAGTTATTAACAACTGAAGTGATACTAGCCGTAGCCGTGAACCATCTTCAAGAAAAGTTAGTTACGGAGCTGCCTACGGTACCTGCATGAGGACAATAATTATGCAAACACGCGATACCGTCTCCACCTGCCTAATGTCCAGGGCAGAGCCCATTTAGACATGGCTAAGCAGCATTGAAGTGAGTAGAAGTAGCAAGGAGGATTAGACGGTTTGGGTAATGGGCCATTTGGGGGCTCTGCTGCTGTACTTCCGCCGGGCTGCTTGGGATACGGGCCATGCCAGTAACCCCAAGCCCTAATGTAGGTCGACAATGCATATTCTGTTCCAATATGATGGCTTATTTCGTCTTCAGAGAAGTCTCCGGGTATTACAGCCACCGCTTAATCCTCGCCAATGTTGACAACATAACTTAAATGAATTTTGCCACAGAGATGGTAGCTTGATAGCTGTGTAGACTTGACACTAGTGACATTGTGCCAGAATAGGAACCATCCTGAAGGAAGTTCAGTATCGCATCGTAAATAAAATGGTATCACTACAACATGAAATATTCTTTAAAACCGCATTTATTTTTGGTGTAAACAAGAGGTGCATATTTACAGACTACACGATCAGTCGTGAAGACTGTGATTGGTACTGCTAAGGATCTTTACGTACAGGTGAAAATGTACCAAGACTAGACGATAAAAAAACATATTGCGAAAACAACAGAGGTTTGGAAAGGTAACCTTAAACGACTCGACTTGCTTTCATAACGAAGATTCTTTTTAAAAGTGTTAGGGTTACGAAGTTGCAAAAGCACGAATCTTATTATCCATTTATGGCGCTACCCATATTTTTCAGAATTTGGAATGTTTGCAAAACAGAGGTAGGTCGCATACTTTCAAGCACAAGAAACAGAGTCAAAAGATAATACAAAAAAGGGGAAGCACAAACACTCAGTGAAGGTAAGTGTTGTCGCATGCCTCGATTTTTAAAAGTAGCAATTTTGTTAAGGTTGGGTCACTAGAGTGCCAAGAACTACTTTAGAGCTGGAAGGAGGGCATTTTTCTACCCAGTGGATGGGAAAGATATTTTGATTGGTAGAAGTTGCAGTATATCATGAAAAGACCGTTAAATAGTGAGGTGGCTGATTTTGGCAGAGACGCAAGAAGGCAGAGACCGAATGAGTCACGACAGTGGGATGATTCAGAGTGAAAAAGGGTGTCTGCATGCAACACCAATAACCCCCTTCCCCCGTCCCGACATTATGTGGGTGTGTAGAAGAGGCACAGACAGAGGTTGTTGTAAACCCGTGAATCACACGCACAGGCATCAAATTGTGCCATCTGCAATCGTCATGCCATCTACACACACACACATGACCCCGGAAGTTCTCTCTCTCGCTCTCACGCACGAGAACCTGCACTCCACTTCGAGCTCCTCTGTGCATCTGCTCAGCAGGACCCGGTGAAATGCATCTTCCATTCTCAGTCTTCTTACATTAATGTGGGGAAGTAGAGGGAGCAGTTGAATCGGGAATGGAAATTATTCTTAAGGAAAAGTGAAGTGAATTTTTGTGGTAATTACAAATTGGTTATCTACGAGTTTTTGAGTGCACAATCGTTCACTTAAAATATAATTCAGTCTAAATGAATCTATTTGTTTCTGATTTAGAACAATGGCAAAGAGTTTAACGAAACTAGTCATTTTATAAAGTGGTTGCCAGTATACTTTTGCGAACAGGTGTTAATAATAAGGTAAAGTACCAAAACGCCTAATTTTTTTTCTAAGCTAATCCTTCGTCTCTGTGCAGCGCACTGAAGTTTTGTAATGATTTAATAATTTAACCATTGGTTTTGGTAACGGGTCACCTAGGGCTCCGCAATTGCACCTCCACCCAGCAGCCTGGCCTCCGGACTAGGCAGCAGTCCATCAGCCCTTCTGTACGCCGGCAATACATGTGCTGCCCTAGTATTATGTCCTGTTTCGCCTTCAGAAGTCTCTCCGTGCTGCGGCTGTTTTGAGAAACCCACTTTTCAACAACGATTGATAAATATTGTGATGCCACTTAACCTTCATGGATTTTAGCGACATTACATTCTTAGAGGTCAGGATTTTAGCCATTACCTAACTGTAATCCTTATAGAACTACGTCAATTTCTTTGCTAATCTCATGTTTCAACATTCTTCCTTAGATTATCGAGACGACTTTTTCCCATCATTTGCTTGACCAGAGGAAATTATTTCTGTATTTCATGGGCCTCTTTAAAAAAACAACTCAACAACCTCCATATTTAGCTGATGTGGCACCGTGAGATTATTTTACAGGTTGGCAAACCCGTATCTTTAGCTGCTTCTCAGTCATCTCTGCAGGTTCTTCAGAGGTTAGAGGAGAAGGGGTCAGGGTAAAGCAGTATATTTATTAACTAAGGTGAGGTAAAGCAGCTAACACCTAGAACCGGTTAAACCATCAAAAACTTAATCTAATTAGAATTCGTTTAAGGGTTCTCTAAACATTCACTGTAAATGGACACAAAAATTTGTTTCACCAGCATGGATGACAAATTAAGAACTGAGATGAGCAGCCTTACCTCTAGTTTTTCAATAGGGTTCTCAATGATATTGAGTCGCGTCTCAGGGCGGAACTGGGAATGTCCAACAGATTTGCGCTCCCCGCGTCGGAAGGAGCTCAGCTGACCGCGACGGAAACTGTTGGACTTGGAGACGAAGAAGGCGACCACAATGGCAATGATTGCAAGGCAGCCAACACCCAAGCCGACCGCCAGTCCCACGTTATTCACGCCAGGGTTCTTAGTCTTCTGGTTAGACCATAGGAAGAGAAGAGATTGGTCTTTTACTTTACATCATGGGTTCAACAAGTTTGCTCTGGACCTGACACATACATTCAATTTTCATTGCAGCGTTTTCATCCTCAACTTGCAAGAAGGTTAAAAAAGTATTTTTGAAGTGAAGAATATTTGATTCACGATGGACAGTGAAGGAAATGAAAAGCATTCAAGCATTGCGCATGCAAGCTATTTCGAGAATGAATCCCTCAGAAAGGGTATTGTTTCTATGCGGAGGCTTTGGATCTAACCCAACGGGCAAAATATACACCATTTTCATTGTCTCAACCATTAGTCATGGTAAGCAATCTGCACCTATGATCCAAGGCTTTTATAATTCCCATCGAGAAGAAAATGTCAACCACGATCAAATATTACTTGAACTAGCGATTGAAACCAACCATCTTTTGCCATCACATACGAATTTGTATCCTGTCTGCTACCAAAACAACATGTAACCGCACGACACCAATAATGTACGGATTTTATATTTAGAGACGGACTTTCTATACTGAAGAAAAGGGCACTTGTATATTTTTAATCTCCCTGTGATTCACTGTCGAATCGCAAAGGCAATCCAAGTTATTGCCAAATAAAAACTTTTGGAGGAGAAATCTTTTTGAACTGCAACGGACGATGTTTGTGTTTACTCGACTGCTTTCCCGTTACTGAGAGAATACTAGGCCTAAAGGTTGGCATCTTCGCAACTTTAAGTGTGCAACCCCATCGCAAGAGTGACCCCAAAAATAGAAACGATCGCTGAGCGTCAATCAAAACATCCTACCAAAACCCATAAATCTACGAGGTGGTAAACGATTCATCCCCAAAAAAGACCTGAAAATACTTAGCAAAAGACTGTTTTAAATTACTGCGGAAAGAAGCATCAGGCTTCACTACAAGCACTGCCCTCAGACAAGACCGTTCAACTGTGACAACAAACAAAAGCGAGTGAAGGTAAATGTGTTCGAGAGGTAAAATAACACTCCCTCGTAAGAGGAAAACTTGGTTCTATTATGCCAGTAGAAAAAGGAACCGCAACTCAGAAACTGCAGTGTCAACGTCACCTTCAGACACGTAAAACTCCTGGTTGGGATATTCCAATCTATGACTACCCCTGCAAGTTGGGATAGCAAAATCAAAGCCCTCGTGAAGCAGTCCATGCTTGAGTAGCTCATGACTGTAACCTTGTCTGCTGGAGGAGGTAAATATGTCAGCAGCAATCACTGCATTCAATCTACCCCATGTCATGCGTGAAAGGAAGGGTTAAGATCGTCTCCCTAATCAGCAGGTACCGAGGGGCGCAAAGCGAGCGGCCACTGCATTTTGTCGAGATTTTAAAACACAACCGAAATAGTGAGGAAAATGTGTGACACAGGTAAACATAAATTTATTCTCTTAAAATGGTAAATGCACCATTACAGTATGCTTGGAGCTATGCATAAATAAGTGGAGAAAGATTACATCCAACCGAAAATGACGGAAGTATGTAAAAGCTCGTAATTAGCATGTAGCACAAGGCCTAGATGTGAAGTATTGCCATAAAATTAAAGGTTAAATGGGGAGCTAATTTTATCGGTCCTTCAAATGCGTAGTTAGGGGTTTGATCGAACTGACAAAAGTGCTCCAATATGTGCCAAAGCAGTACATCAAGAAATTAAGGAATTCGAAGGAAAGTTTGGTGACATACTCGCAAACTTGCTGCCAGTGATAAAGCAATATCCTCACAACCCGTACATTAGCATGGATTTAAATTTTCTGGTACTCCGTTAGGTCACACGGTCTCATCCTCCACAGATTTCTCTCAGCCGGGCTAATCATTCAAATCATGGTGAAATGGCAACGCTCCCACTTAGTTTTAATTTTCAACCCTAGTTACTCTAGCTTAAAGGTCAACAGACAAGTCGGTGGGAAATGGTCTAGAAAGACTTTCAACCCGACGAACCTGGGAAGTGCCCCTTTGATGCAGGGAGAGGGAATCACCTGGTCGGACCTCCTTGTTGGAGTGTGCAAATTGAGCGCCGCCCATGGAAGATCGGTATTGGGGCGATGGGTCCAGTCTTTTGTAGGTGCCTACAAGGTATGTAATAAGCCCTCTGAAAATCCGGTGATGCCTTGTAAAAAGCTGATGGCAAAAAACTCAAAACATACGAGCAACAGAAGGCCACTGGGCAGCCCCAGCCCCGGCGGGATAATCGGCAGACATGTCGTAGTCATCATCGTAGTTATCTTCCTCATCATCGTCGTCTTCATCAATGTATTCCTCCTCTGCAGGCCCTGATTCATCCAGATTATTGCGAGAGTTGTCCGAGTAGATCACATTGCTGCCTGCTTGGACCTCCTGTGCGATTATCGGAGAGCTCAAAAGGATCTATAGAAATTTATTAAACGAAATGTGTTCACATGGAATTGAAATAGTTTCCAGTTGTCACAATTTCAATTATCCAGCCTAAAGACGAAATTAAGACTAATGCAAGCCGTGTTTCCTCTTCTTTCGTTCGATCATGAGGATAACACGTTGTAGGATAATAAGTAGTATAAGGATCAACAGCCCTGATTTTTCATTGGGACACTTTTTGATCCACAGTTTGAGAAACAAAGGATATGTGTATATACTAGGTTAAATGCATTTCTCTGAATTCCTTTCAACTAATTTTTCTGCTTTTTTTGAAGGAAAAGGACGTTTTTCTACCAAATCTTTGCAACGGAACTGCTAAACTGGCTGACATTTGCGAAGCTGAATACACACGAAGCTTAATTCATTCAACACACACGAATGCTGACATAAATCATACACACAAGAAAAAATCCCTATTCAAAATACAAGATCAATTCTACCTGAACAGTGAAGGGATCCGTGTTGAGTCCAGCATCATTGTAGGAGCAGATAAGTTGGAATTTTCTCTCCAACAGCAGACCAGCAGCGAGAGTTTTGTCATCAGCCCGTTTTTCTATCTCGATAGGTGGCCAGTAGCGGAAGCCGTGGAGCAAGCTGGCGTACTGACTGGCCGTCTGATGACCCTTCATCAGGACGCCCATTTGCGTGGGTTCCACGGAGACGCCGATCTCGAAGGCCCGACCTGCCGGCCATACGATACGCTCACCGTCGTTGAAGTTGAGACCACTACCATTGACAGGGAGAACGAGACACTGGTCGAGAATGAACATGGAGGCAGAGCGCACCACACTTTTCATTTGAGCTGAAAGGCACAGAACAAACACAGACGCACTTATTACTATAAAAACTCAAAACGCCATGTAAAGTCCTGGCTCGCGAGGATGGTAATGTTCTCGTAAACGATTTGGTCATTTACGAGAATACCGTACTGCTCCAACAATAGCGGATCGTTTGAAAGAAACTAGCAAGGTGAAGAAACTGATAAACCAGATGAATCTTATCGCTTAAATTGAACGGACTAGTGTCATCAAAATTATTGTATTCATTTGACTTCAGACATAACCTTGGAGGCTGCTCGCATACGGATACCAGACTCCTTTGGAAATGAGAAAAAGGCCTTATAATCTGGCCTGCCCCAGCATTACACCTTGTCAGGAATATGCTTTGCAGCCAAACTGAGAATTGACATAGATTAATATGGCAGGCTAATTTCTAATCTGACTCTAAAGTTTTCTTTACTGGCTACCATGGGGACTGTGTTTGATGGTGCGGTTGCATCGCTAAAATAAGAAACCTTGCGAAAATTACTATGGTTGAGGGGAAAATCTGCATAAGCATATGGGAAGCAGACTTGTGTTTAAGTGAAATACTTTAATTGTTTGTTTAACACTTAGTCTTGGTAAAGGGCCCACCGTCACCGGGTAACTGGCCTTCAGGCCATGCCAGTAGACCTTCAGTCCTTCTGCATGTCGAATGTACGTATATCTTCTTTTGCCTTCAGGAAGCCTGGAGGCGCTACATAAGTATTCGATGATAATGAACGACACTTACTACTTTCGATTATTTTGGGACCAAAGATATTAGGACTAAATTTAAAAGGCCAGGTAGATTGCAAGGGGAACCTCACAGTTTCTTACAATTGTGACTACCCCAGCGAAGGCGAATGATGAATAGCAAAGCAACTCGATTTCTGGAAGGAACAATTTTACTTGGCTTTGTTATGCTCATACCTTTTTTCCAAAGACTTCTCTATATGGAGAAAAAATTGCCCCAAGAGTGGATAACACGAACACAGAAGAGGAGGTTTTACCTCTCAATATCCAAGGGAATGGATACTTTGTAAAAGAGGATGATTTACATAAGTCGTGTGATTGCTGGAGTGCGTCTGTGTGTGCTAACCCACACCTGCGATGTGAATACCTCCAAAAGTGAGAGCCAGAATCTAATTTCCACTTGTTCTTTTGACTATTTTAGCTTAAGGCGCTTCAGTAATTATTCGGTGAAATGGCAATCAGAGGAAACGAAAGTCCACTTAGGTGCTCTAAAATGAACGGTCATTTTACCATATCTACCGATCACATTTTCAAAAAAAAGGTGTAAGAATCTTTGTCGTTGAATTGATGCACATGTGCCTAGATGAGTGACAGGAAAAATAGTCTTACGTAGACATTAAAGACCTAAAGTAAAAAATTCTCTTTGCGCTCATAAATCGAAAAGAGCTCTGTCGGAGTGGGCTGGAATTATTAATAGCTCGCATAAATCTTCGAAAAATCAGGGAGTTTTACACCCGAGCTCTACCAGAGATGGAGATAGAACTTTTCGGAGGCTTTATAACATCAATGATGCGCTTTTGTGTAGGTAAATCGTATTAATTTGCATATAAATTACCAGAGGAAGGTGAATTTGGCTCCAAGTGGAAATTCAAAGAAACAGGTTCCTCAGTAAGGTCCTGCTTGTTAATCATTATCTTCAGGCTTTGTAGACGCGACGGAAGAGGAATTAGTTGAAAGGATTGAAAAAGATGGCACCTAATCAGCGCCAAAAAAGACTCCAATCACACCGAAACGGTCCCACTAACTTTTTAATGTAGGTACATCAGATTTCTAACACCAGACAAGGAGTAAAAAATTCCGACTACTGTTGGATTAGTAGCTGTCTGCAGACAGAACGGAGGAAAAAGGAGCTTCTTAGGAGTGTATGCATGATTTTTATGTACAAACGCCTACCAATGTGGAGGAGAAGGTAGATAATAATTTGTATGTTCTCATAAAGCCCTCCCAAAAATGAATCGGGTCGGTGGAGGCCTAGTGCTGACTTGATTATGTTAGCACTTGTAAGATTGAGTTGGAATGTAAGATAATTAATTCAACCGCAACCGCTCCTACAAAAGGATGGCGCGTGTCTCATTTTTAAATCATGAATTTGATAAAGCGCCAACGCTACCGCATCAGCATTTCTGGGCGAGAAACAAAATGACCCTACAAAGGAGTTTGAATGAAACCTGTTCTTGAATGTATATAACATCGCTAATTTTTCACAGTGAGTGCGCATGAATGCCAAGCGCAGAGAGTTGGTAAGAAGGGTGATGTGAAGGAAGGAGAACAAATTTTCACACACACACACACGCATACACACACATAAACACGCTCAATTAGATTTGCAAGCACGACTGTTGATTGAATGCTCGTTCCATGCCATTTTGGTCGCCAGCCATTCGACTGATTTCAGCGTTCATAAACAGCAGTAGTGAGCCACAAATAAGATCTCTTTTAAACCGCCATAAGAGAGTAAAATATGTAATTTTTTTTGCAAAAAGGTGGGCTTAAAACAAAAAGGAATTCATGTGCAAAAAAGTCTATACAATCAAGTGAAGCTTATTACGGTAGATTAAAAGTAAAGTTTACGAATCTAAGCGCCTCAGATATCGTCTTTTCTGATTTGTAAGAGCAACTGTGGGTGGTGGAAAAAGCTCTGGAAAGACACTTGTGTGAAGACGAAAGTAACACCTAGCTTCTAAAGGTCAACTACCAGCACTATTATAGTAGGAAATTATTAAAAAAACACCAGGACGCGATCTGTTTTGACGCATTGTGTGCAACAAACCACCCAATTCCATCGTCTGAACATAAGCCCTTTACTTTGAAAGTGAGAGGAGAGATGATGACGGCAGTGTCTGATACCAGTACGGAACGATCGCGCCTCCACCATCGCAGTGTGAATATGATGGAGAAGCAGGTTTAAGCGGTTATGGGATCACTACTGCTGGAATTTAAAAATGAGCTTGTTCTTCACATCTTCATTGGTTACAGCTCACTACTTGCGATTTTGCACGGTAAAATGAATGCCTTTTAAAAATTTTCCGAAGAATTCATTACTAAAACGCCTATAAAGTGAGTGTCGAAGGCTTAGTTGAGCCCAACCTGATTTTCTCGTGTAATGCGTGAGTAGTACGTGACAAAAGCCGCTCGAATGATGCATCAGCAAAGGTCCTTTCCGTCGCATCAGAGCTTTTACTCCTTCATTGTAACTTTCTACAAACACGGGGTGCATTTACTACAATCTGATGGGAAGGGTAGGAAAATAGGTGCCCTCGCAGCAAACTCATTTCAAAATTCGAGATGGAAATCCAATGTCCTGGTTGTGACTTTAATTCCATTTCGACCACACAAATATTTGGGTGCCAGGATGAACAGCACAATATTTGAGGATAGCGTTCAAAAAGCCGACAGTCCCACTTTCTACGCATTCAAGGAATCGGTATCATGCATAAATAAACTGCATCAATTAATTAAGATGAAGTTCCAACGTGATGGTAGGTGGTTTAATTCCAAACTGATTATTCAAAGTCGCAAGATAGTCCTTCCATATTCTATTTCCTGGATGGATTCAAACATGCCATGCATATGAACTTAAGAACTGCGGTTGCGCACAGAAGTTGTTGCACTATTGAAAATTCTTTCAAAACAAAGCATATTCCCATTTCAATGGATAGTAGAACTGATTCACACATAAAATTCCATTTCAGATAATTCAGACCAAGTTTCAACATGTCGATCACCCGTTTCTTGGCTTGTTGGTCCAAAGATCAAGATGATAGGCGCAATGTCTAAAATCACAGCCAAAGCAATCCTTTGTCATTTAAACGATAATCCACTTAGAATGAGGTATATTTAGTCTACTAAAAGAAAATTGCTTTCTCTTCCGACGGTCAAGAAACCCGATTCTTACAAAAGAAGCCAGGGATGAATTTTAAGTCACCTTTAATGATTATCACTCGCTGTTATATCCTGCCGGATACTTGAAAATGAAGATGACTAACTTGAAGTCTGAGATTACGCATGATGCAACTGATAGTTCCGTTATTTACAATGTTTTACAAATGAATCGTACCTAGACTTTTTAAAAATACTTCTTTCAGTCTCAAAGGATAAGAAACCAATGTCAGGCAAAAAAGCACACTTCAGAGAATGCAGATGAAGTTTAAGCTTGGTCACTGTAGCTTAGATTTCAGTGTGATTGCATGAACTTCTATTTTTAATTGTTGTATATTTTCCAAAGACTTAAAAGTTTGCAAAGATTTAGAAGTCGGAGTGAGTAGCTTAGAATGTACAGGGCTGGGTACCTGATGAGATAAGATTAGTGAGTCGAGATTGACACAAGAGAAGCCAAGCTTACACGGCACATTGGTGAAGGTGAATTCCAATCCAGGGAACATGACGATTCCGGGCTCCAGTACGGGGATGTCTGCACGGACGACCTCTTGTCCAAGGACGGCGAGCACCAGAGCAGAGGACGATTGCCGTTTAGAGGATACAGGTACGGGTGGTGGTACAATCATCTCACTTTTGGGCAACCAAGCGGAGTCCAGAGGCCCAGGAACCGCCGCCTCATAGATCGGGCTGTCCACTGGGGAGTCCTCCAGTGTGAGGGGAATGACGGTAGTGCTGATGTTTGCCAGTTGACGCTCGCCGCATCTACAAGGAAGAAATTACGGAGTAGGTAGATTTGTCAATTTTGTGGAAGCGAGCAAGGGTTACATTCTGGAGACATTGTTGCATGATTAAATTCATCATAGGAGTGGGGATTGTACATAGATGAAAGTAATTTGCTAGGTGTTTGCAAAAAAATAGAAAAACGAAAAGGAAAACAAATTAATTTGAATCTCTAGAAAAGAACAGAACATTCCATCAAGTTGTCACTGAAGAAGAGGAAAAACAATTCATCATCCTTGTTTCAGCATTAGAATGGAAAATTTGTTAATTAAGCTGCTTCAGCAAAATTTTTTAGACGGAATGTGATTTCGCCACTTCCAATCATATAAATAATGGATAATTTGCATAATTTTTGAATTGGTATGAAGAAAGCAGAATTCGCTGATGCCACGGAGACCAGAAAACCAGAATTGACAAGTTTCTAAACCAGTTTTTTTACAGTGGAAAGGTGGGGCTTTCACAACCGTTTCCAAGATCCAGACCCATAAAATAATAATTCAAACCTAGCTTCACGTAAAAAAAGGGTGCTTTAAGATATAGATAGACGGCAGCCTTTATATGCAGCAGACTTTAATGGATAAAATCGGTTAGGGATGGGCATTTAAAGCGCAATGGTCAGGGTTGATGGCCTAAGGTGAAGAAGATTGGGAAGTTTTAAATAAGCTAACCCATTTCTTAACATGCTTTTTTAACTCGAGAACGCAGATTTCTGCAAATTGTTATCACAACAAGGGAAGATTCTCTGTGAATAAGTAATGGGGGACGTCAAACACAAAGGTAGGCCCTCGAGGGCTTTCCAGATTTTTTGTAAGAAGACGTCAGGCTTCACAAGTACATTGGGTAATAATCACCATTTTACAATTTAATAGCACTAGTTTTATCTACAATGCCATCACCATTCTGCATGGAGACCCTTCAGTTGAAATGGAAGTAAATTCAAGGGAAGCAGAGCGTTGTATGCGTGCTTGGAGAATCAACAGTAGTTGGTCCCTGTAATAAAAACCAAAAAAAACAAAGGACAGAAATTTGATGTGACAAGAAGCACACCCAGCTACGAAACTGGAACTGGCCGTACCCTGTTGCAAAAAAAGTGCTGTTATTTTATTTCGTCGTGCTCGAACCTATTTTTGTTGGGTCAGACTGAACTCCATTGAAATACAATTACCCAACTACCAGGAAGTGTCTTACTATGTTTACCACCTAGTTTCAATCTAACTAAAGTCCCTACCAAGATGTATAATAGTTTTCTTGGAACTGGGTAAAATGTAACATTTATCCGCATATTTAAAATAATCTCCAAAGCTAGCTAATGAGTCGGTGCTTTTCTTTCGCAAAAGGGCAGTCTGAGGCCTAGGAAACCATTTTGACGATACAAATAGCATGTTTGCGTGACTTTGGTCATGACATTGCTAATGACCTCTTGTGCAAAACTTTTTGGCTATTAAATGCTTGATTTCGTTTATTTGCCAAGGAATGTGGACTGCTTTGATGTTGACGAAGGAGGGGCAATATTTTATCCTGGTGCTGGAAAGCACCAGTCTGCGGACCACCCGACAGGAATACGGTGGTCTCGGAACAATCCTCGTTCTCAGCCCATACCGGCCGTCGATACTTCGAGGGATAGATGCAAGACATCAAATGCTACATTACATCCCCAGGAACCAATTTGTCTCTTGAATAAACGCGCCAATTTCAGTCTCTCTAATGCCGAGCATTCAACACAGTCAAGGATGGCTATGTCTGACTCGATTAAAACGACGTTTAGTTCTTCAAATAATCTTTGATTTAAAAGATAATTTCACGATCCAACAGTACTTAAAAAACAGATTTTTGGAAAAACCAGATAAGCTACTTTTCAACATCCGTTAAATTAAGGAGCCAGCCACCGTTTCACACGCTGTATCATTATAAATTTGTAGATGCCACAGTGTTCTTAGTGTTCTCCACTGCCGAATTACGTGACTTTTGTAAGTTTGGAGGAATTACCATCAACTGGAATAAGCACTTTGTGTCACTTTAAAAATCACTTTTATCTGCTAACTTCTTTCGCTTGCTTTTGATGGTATTGCATTACGCCGGTTGTTAGTTTAATGCTCGGTTTTGATAAAGGGGTCACTCGGATGGCTTCGCCAATGCACCTTCACCAGGTGGACTAGCCCCTGGTCCATGACAGCATCCTCCAAGCCCTTCTGTATGTCGCACACATATATATATTCTATCAGAATATTATGGCTTCTTTTGGCTTCATGAAAGTCTCCGAGCGCTACATTGGTGGCGGCGGAAAGCGAATCCGGTCCCAAGGACATCAATCCCGATTTTCACTGCTGGATGATAACCCTTAGAGGGGCAGAAGTGCATATGCCACAGATGGGGGAGTCGGTGACGACTTCTAACAGAAGGGCTGGAGATAACGTCTACCCCCGGCAAATACCCCGGTTTCGTGGTCTGTGGGAAAGCTATTAACAAATGAGGCGATACTAGTTGCGACCGTAGATCATCTGGAAAAGTTTCGTCACGGAGCTAAATACCGTATCAAATACGTAAGCTCCCGATACTTCCTCCTTTTCCTCCTCAATACTAAGTAGATAGAACCTAGATGGATATAGCTGGGCAGCTCTGAAGTGAGAGCAACGTGGCAAGGAGAATTCGACGCAACGAAGCCCTACCCCAACAGAACTATGTTAAATCTTGCCCTCTGTTATTTGACTCTGCTTTTGGGTCGTTGTTCCTAGGACCAGCAACGGACATGTGCAATGACTAGCACATTCCCCGTCCTTGAACCCAGATCCCATACAGGTTGAAACTCTAGATCCAGTAGAATTGCCAAAAGGGATCCGTGACATTGCGGTTAGGTACCTCCTCAGTTGCATGGCAATTTGATAACTGAAGCGGTTAACTTGTAGGTGTTTTTCGTGCAGCACTGAATACATTGTGATGGCCGGCAGGAAAGCTGACCAAGGGATAGTGATCAAAAGAGGAGGGGTTGCGCAATATGTTAATTGCTTATTTATCTCATGGTTTTGGTAAAGGAGCCACTGGAAGGTCCTACCATTGTACCTTCGCCAGGTGGGTTGACCCCTGGAACATGTCAGTAGCTTTCAAGCCCTACTGTATGCTGAAGACATATGTGCTATCCAAGTATTATGTCTTCTTTCGTTTTTAGGGAAGTTTCGAGGCACTACAGCATCACACAGACCTCTACCCTGACACAGCAAACCTTAAAATTACTGAAAGATTTAGTGCCGCCACAAGCAGCGAATGACTATATTATGTTAGATAACGGAGGTCAAGGTAGAGCTGACAAGGGGGAAAAGCAAGACCAGATGTTTACTCATAGCAGTCCAAGAAATAGATGGCTTTTAGTTAAGAACCACCTTAATGAGTCAAGTTAAAAAATCCCTTTCGCCTGCTACTACTGTTGAGAACGATTTCTTTATATTTTGATGCATTACATTGTGCTGAACGTAGAAGACTGAAGCTCCCTTTCCCCATTGTTCCATTCCACGAAAGGGAATACCGAAGTTCATGAACTCATTCCACAATTATTCAAGTAAAATTTATCCTCTTCTCGTCGATAGAAGTAGAAGTCATGGAGAACAAACCAATCACTTGCTTCGTAAATGCGGAAATAAGTAATCAAATTACTACTAAGTGTAATTAAATCAGAAGGTTGAATTTAGTAATCCTTTACTTCGAAACTGACCCAAAGCCTCTGAATGGTGCAAGGTCAACCCCCATTCACAGACTTGCTGCCAAAATACAAGTGCTAAGATCAAAAGCTCATATTATAATAAAAACGACAAGTATTCACAAAGAAATGGGGAATGGAGCTTACGAGCACTGTAGTTCCTATGCTGGACTTCGTTCCGTTAAGCTGCAACTTAATTGCTGACTTAATTGGAAAGTAAAATGCTTGATACTAGGAAGTTCTAGAAGCTACCTATACCCGCTTTCAAGAAATCGACCGATAAATGAAAAAAGGAATCTGCAAGATGATGGCTATTGAGGTACTACAAATCATGAAAACCTCCGGGCTAATGAAATTATGGCATGAAGTGTGATTCAAACAAGATGGGTAGGAAGTCTTGCCACAAATGAAGCAACTTGCAACACTGCTTACTTTATTAGTGGTCAAAAGAAAGTGAGGTGAGTAGTTGTGGATGATGACTATACTCAGAAAACCTCCATAGAACATCAAATTCTTCCAAAAGTTAGGAAAGCTGACCTGAACACGGTGGCCAGCTCAATCGCACGGGTGTTGGATCCAGACGGCCCAAAAGTGAGTTGAGTGTCAGTGGACCGCGGCTTCACGTAGGCGATGTTGCTTATTAGCTCGGCTGCCTCCGCAATGGTCACAGACTCAATCACGATGTTGTCATTGTTGAGAAGGACGTTCACATCGTCTGTGATGAGCTGTAGGTGGACAAGAAAGAAGGCACCTTTGCTAATTGATGAGTGGTAAGCCACCATTCTTCCAGAGGGAATGTTTCCCGTTAGACTAATGACTCAATTCACCTACTGCTAGACTAGTCCAGTGATGACATACCATTTCAATTTTTACAGAGTCATCTTTTAATTACTCGGGTGAGAAACCACTTAGAGCTTAAATTAGGTGGATGAGTAAAATCATAGTGCGGAAATCGAGTGAATTTAACTGAAAAGTATGAAAAACTACATTGACAGTAGTTTACCAGTACACATAGGAATTAGTCCTACGAAAAGAACTAGTAATTGATGAAATGAAGAAATGATATGACTGGAATAGGTTAGTTGTTTGCTTAACTCTCCATTTTAGTAAAGGGCAAAATAGGGGCTCCGCCACTGTACTTTCACCAGGCGTCCTGGCCTCTGGGTCATGCTGGTAGCCCCAATCGCTTCTGTATGTTAAAAGCACATATTCTGCCCAGGTATTATGTCCTCTTTCGCCTTCAGGAAAGTCTCAGAGTGTTACATTGGTAGCAGCGAAAAGTGAACCCCTCCTAAACGATAACTATCCCGTTTTCTACTGCTGGGTGATAAACATCAGCGTGAGGGAAGAAAGGCATAGGGCGGCCTGGCCTTTAGACCGTGTCGGTAGCCCAATACAAAACATATTCTGCCCGAGGATTGGCTTCTTTCGGCTTTAGAGGAGTCTCAAGGCATTATGATGACAATTCAAGATTTTTTGGTTCTTAAATGACATCAATTCCACCATTTTTGCCGCCAACCATCTTAAATAGAATTTTACTTGATCGCATTCGTGCATTAGACTTAAAATTTGTGGTACCATTTTAAAATTTACCAAGGTTGTGATAATGTTGAGGTAGCAGCTCTCTTTCTGAATGCAATCCCAGAACCGCCTATGAAGAGGTCATGTTATAAGACCCTATAGGGTTAGGACAGCTGAAATGACACAGTGACCTCTAAAAGCCTTAGAAAGGTTAATTTCTTCCATCAGATAACACTAATGATTGTGTTAGGTCATTAAAGGTGAAATAAGTGGTTTGCACCACCGGTAAGTTCAAGGATCAACGTTTCTGACCTTTTCTCGTTCTGCTAATTCAAATACTACCTCTGTGGCAAGTTTTGGTATCCAGAAGTGGTCAAATGCCCTATTTTTACTGATAAAAAAGATATCCTGCAATGCGAATCCATTGTACTGGAAAAAAATAATACCAGTGCACCCAAATGCAAAATCTTGACGGTTACTTGAATGCTGGTTCCTTAAAACAACTTCACATCTTTCTAAAATGGGAAGTTCTTTCTTTAGGAATAAGCCATATTCATTGTTTTGAAGTGTTACAGGTAAATGAGAAGAGTATGAATGATTTCTTTGCTTAAAAAGAACTTAGATCGATCTAAAAGTGACCTCGGGGTTCCTGTTACCATCATGTGATGCAAAACTCTTAAGTTGCATTACCAAGATAAAATGACTTATCAACGATTCCACTCGGAATCCTGAAGTAAATACACAATTACGAGGTAGACATTTGAATTTATTGTATGAGTTTGGTGATCAAGTGACAAGTGCCTGTGACATGAACTTTTAAACAATTCTGAATTCTTGGTGGAATAGGCATTGTGCATGTCCACGAGACCCCATATTTGACATTTTAAAGAATTCAAAAATGGCCGTTCTGATATTTTCCAACGTTTCTTTTACAGTTACATGATAGAAAATAGTTCCGCGGTCAAATACTGCCTCGAGGGACCGCATTTTCATTGCAAAATATCCCTTCATTCACTCACATCAAAGGGTCCAAATCCCCAAAGAAGCATTAAAAGGCCAAGCAAGCCTTCTTTGGTCGAAACTAGCTTAATAGTCATTTCCTCGTTTCTTCCCATTAATCTAGTTGGTGACCACTTGAAAAAAAGTGGAAAGGGAATATTTTATTTGAGTGAGCCAGAAGGTCAGTTCGGCGATGACCCTCCTGCCAGCCAATTAAACTTTCTGTGCCGATGGCTGACGTATCAACTGCCTACGTACGAATGACTGTGATTTAGGAGGTCTGAGGCAATTGCGGCGTCTTGTTTTGGCGAAGCTGGCACGAGCCACCCCAAAGGTGAATTTTCGGCTCACCTTGTCTGGCAATGAAGAGCAGAAAGGGTGAAAGCTGTTAAATGATTTATGCAGCGCTGTGCGGATGCCTGACTGTCAGGTAAATAAAAAAGCATCCTCAAGTAGACTTGAAAAATATAAGTGGAAAAACTTAGTTAAAGAATAGGGGAGCGAGTATCTTTATAGTGTATAAGATGGACCTAGAGCTTGTGGAGTTACAAGTGCCTCGCAAATCAGGGTCCCTATTTCCTATCCACCTTAATCGACTGCCGAAGTTGTGGTTTTTCGGGTCCGTACTAACCCTAAAAGTGCTGCTCAAATGGTCATTGAGAAGAATTAAAAATGAATTCTTTATAATGAGAAACCCACCAACTCAGGAAGCGACCCTCCGCAAATCCAGAATTCTAAAAATCCTTAAAATTATAGGCATTAGTAGGAACTGCCCATTTTGAAATACCCACTTTCACATTCTACGAAATTCTCACTAATTTTGACGATTCTGGTGTAAAAATCCTACATTAATTTCCGGTTCAGTCGTTATTGTTAAGATGAAGAATGTAAACAACGAAAATCAACGATGACGTTGACACAAAAACATTGGCGACCAATGAGGCTTGAAGCTGGTCAGGAAGATCCAAAGACAATGGAATACACTTAGCGGTGATACAGAACGCATGAACGCGACATTTGACGTTGGCAGTCTACAATGTGATTGATTGCTCAAACCAGTAGACTGTCTCCACCAAACAGCTTCTTCCATAATTAAAAGCTATCCTTTACCCAGGCAAAGCTGAAGTTCTGGAAAAAGCTACCATGACTACACTCAGGGCGGGATTATGTTCGTAAACGAGGTCTATAAGGTGAGTATTTTTACTCGATGATAGTGGAAATCCACACATCGTTAAATCAACAGCTATCGGTAACTTTTGGTCTATGCTGCATTTTGGAAGACGAGGAAGCAACTGGAGAAAGAGGAGAGAGAGAACACTCACCCTGCTAGCCCTTGGAATGAGAAGAGTTTCTCCACATTCCGCGAGACACCGAGAGACACTCTGATCTTCGTTGCGACCAAGAAGGAGGGTCATTCCCGCAAGGGCTCCATTGAGGGACTGCTGCGCTGCTGGAATGCTCGGATCATAACAGGTGCCCACGGTGATGCTGAAAAATAGTAAAATTTCTTATTTAATCCTCTTGTTAATCGGTTCTTCTGATGTAAGGCTCACATTTGAAACACAAGATCCTTAGAAGCACCAATTTCCAATAATGATGGTAATGACTAGTGTCTTTTCCGCATAAATAAATGTAAAAATTAGCTCATTAACTTTAAAAACTTTTATTTTCAGTTTTTGAAAGAGGAGGTTCACTGAGAGAAATGGTGCGGCAAGACGGAATGAGAGTTTAAAAATGTCATTTTTTGCAACCAGTTCGAGGCAATTAGCACCAGTTTCTTGGAGGAAGATCCATCTCCCCATGGTTTGAATACACTTACACCATAGTAGAAGAAAGACTGGGGGGAAGCGTCATTCACATAAAAAGTAGTTGTAATTCCACTTTAAAAAGCGCTGCTGTTCAAAACAGACCTAATTAATATTTCAATTAAAAGTTAAGGATGGAGAGCATATAATTTTTGCTAGGATTATGCTTTTCAACCTAAATTCAAGGAAGTCAAATTGAGGTTCGACACTGCAAACACAAAGAATATGGGGATTTTACGGTTACTTGATGGAAATCCGTTTCACTTTCCGGTTTATTTTACGTCTGGCTCTTAAGTATCAGTGTCGGCTCACTTGCCTCTCGAGGCGTTGATTCAAACAGTACAGTAATATTTGCTTGGACGTATCCTTTTACAAAAGGCGATCAGCAAATACGAACCTCATGACCGAGTTGACACCGTCGGTCCCGAAGAAAAAGAGACATACCCTGGACACGCTTAAACCTCTTTATCTATCTACTACCCATTGAGGCATGCCCTGGTCCAACCCGTCTGCTCGTCCCAAAAGCATGACGACAGAGATAGAAGAGAGCAACACCAAGCCTATTACAGCAAAGCATGCATTCATTTAAGAAATAAATTGGCATGCCATAGTTGGACCGCTTCACCAAATCTATCAGTACAAATATCATGAGGAAAATAATTTCATCCTACTAGTTTCTAAGATTCAGATGAAAGGTTAGGTGACACTGCCTTTGGTAAAATCATATGCCAATCGGATGCGTCGGAGCACCTTTCAGGTTTCCTCCGGCTTCGTCCATGCTGCACGGCGTTTAATTTTTCATAATCTTAATTTTAGTGAAATTAAAAGAAGTCAAATTTGTGCCTTTTTAGCCCAATACGAGTTCTGAGAACACTCAAGTTGTCACAGATAATGAAATAGTCTATCAGTTAGACAGTAGCAAAGACTTCAGCGAAATGTTTGAGGAGAGAATGACTTTCAAACACAATTAAAAGATACCTTTACCGTCATCATCCTTTACTGAAGAACAAGTTCTCATTCGGTTTTAGAAACAATAAAATTCTTGAAAAGCGTGTTCAACCGATTTAAGCCTGAAATTTTAATGAAAATTGTGGGGAGTGGATCAGCTGTAAAACGCTGGCACAATCTTAGAATACTTAAATAGTGAACCTAAACCAAGTATTTGCACTAGAAGGATTAGTAATGATTCAAACGCCTGCGATGATGTAGGGAAAAAAAGACCAATATAAAATTACAAGTTAATTAAAAAATAGAAACTAGGCGAAGCTTCGAGAGTTTCACTAAATATTAAGATGAAAATTGCTAATTCTTTAAGGTGGAAATAAGCAACAGCAAGAAGATATGAAAAAAAAAACAAAAAATGAAGTGACAGCAAAGGTTATCACCTCTGAGCCTGCAGAATCAACTTCCTAAATGTTGAACAACCCGCAGTTTGTTATCAATGGAAAAAGTCTATTTATTTTAAGTGAAATAAAATTTACAAAATTCACGTTTTATCTAACCATATCTGCAGCTCTTGTATATAACCTGCATCCATTCGACGAGACTAGCGGGACTAACTTACTCAAAAATAAATGAATTTCAGATCACCCCTATCACTTCCTGATCGCGCTTACACAGCAACTGGTCCGACTAATAAGATGAAATCAGGCCACACAATGTAGGCTCAAGGAAACTCACAACTGCGGGAAAAATTCCTTGATCTGACGAGTAACATAAATCGGCTCTCCAAAAGCCTCCAGAGTGCCCACTAACTCCCCATCCATCATGAGAGTGCTGGCGCTAATATCAGCGGTCTCAGGGTCGAAGGTGACGCTGATGGAGTAATGGTGCCAGGAGAACTGGTCCGCTTGCCCGTCTGCTGTGTCTTCACGTTGTCTGAGTGGCAGTTGGGGGAAAAAGTAGGTGCGGAATATCTTGTTCATTAGCGGCTGGCTGGACTGAGGATTGCCTGCAGACATCTGCACCATGACTCGAGAGCCCTTCAGGCTGATCCACAGGGCTCTGTTGACGATAGCTGAAAGTTAAATCCAAAAGTCAGTTTACTGCCATCACCAATTATAAGCAAGTGCAAATTATCAACGCTCCAACGGAACAGTGTCTATAGTTATCGAGAGGCTACTACGAGAACACCAAGTCAACTAGCCGGCAAGGTCTTGTGAGCACATTCTTCTGAAAGGTCTCAAATTGGGAAAACTAACTTGCCTCCACGATATACCACATTTCACTGCAAATAAATCAGGGGTTGTAAAATCTGAGTTCTTGTCAAAGATAGAGTGGGATGAGAATTCAACATTTTACAGGACTGGCTAACTTGAGTCAATATCTTATCATTCGCAGAATTTCTGCAAGTTAATAAAACCACGCACTTATCATCTTGGAGTTGATTGCATGAGCTGGATTTATTAGAGGTAATGTCAATCTGTTGTATTGAGTGAAACGAGTCCTGAAAACAGACGCACCGCAAAAATATTCCTAGCATGCCATATCACCACGGCTTGACGGAAGATGTTTGACAAAGGCCCTAGAATTGCAGGCACCGACGCCACTATCTAGGTGCACTGGGGAATGCACAGGCAGAATGAATTTGAGTGAAGGAACTTTTTCAAATAGCCTGGAATCCCCCAAAAATTTAAGGTGTTTGCCCGACACTACCCTTATTTCATCTCCTCGTCTGGTTCGAAAACGGTTGAGTGGAATTCGAGGCATACTTTTTACCCTGTAAGTTCCAAAAGACCGGGTTTCCAGTGAATGACGGGGGACGCTTTTTTTGCTTTACTCTGAATGCCTTGTGAGTTAACTGATCCCACTTTAATTTGCGACAACCCAAGAATAAAGTCTTATGTTTTTACATTATAAATGAGCAGGCAAAATTTACGAAGCTGTAGCAGTCTTCTTTATCATTCTCAGCTAATAGTAAATTTATTCTAATCCAGGCTAAAGGACAAGAAGTTCTAGGTACATTCCCTCAAGTATGTACATAACATTTAAAGATCCAAATGATTACAACAGTTGCTTAAACATTAGACAGGAGTGTTGATTAGTTGCGTGGCATACGAATCGCATGTCTAACCTGGTTAAAAAGTTTATTTCTGAAATAAATTCCGACAAGACCTGTCCGAAAGGTAAAATATCAGGCAGTCAACGCAGAGATGGTCCGAAGGCCACAAAACGGACGTCTCAACAACATTTACAACCGGCACTGACATCTACGCTCGCGAATGTCGGTTAAAACACGACTGATGGATCGTCGAGAGCATTGGGGTCATATTCGACATAAAAATCGGAAGACACTTAGATGAGGCCTCAGAGTTAACTGCCTCTGCGATACGCTGAAGATACAGCGGCTCAATACAGTGATCCGCTGACAGATATACCACCAGACACCTTCCGGATACCGCCTTCATCTGTGGGCCCTGCTTTACAGAACATCATGGAAGAATCGATGGACGTTGGCCTGACTTGCGTACCAAGACGACTTTCGCGAGGGGAGGCGCTGCAACCTCATAAAAACATCCCTCACGATTTTCAGCGAGCTTTCCACCTTTGTGGCTACACCCCGAACATTCTAGAACCCCCGCTCTTGCTCACTCTCTCTTGATTGGATAATTAGCACGTCAGTACACCAAGCATTGGTCGGCATAAGTCCACGTGACTAAGCCGACTGCATGACTCAGACTCAGGGTCAGACGCGGACTTAGGCGACCTCTGTTGCCGGGGCCCTAGATTATACACGCACCTCTTAGTCATTGCATGGCTGGGAACTAAATGGGGACCGGGGAGCCTGTGCATGAAAACCATCTCGCATAACGGAAAAACGTGAAAATCCGAGTGAAAAGAACAGCTAGCTTTGTTCCGGCATTACTAAAATGCATTTTCATGGCACCATGATTAACAAAATGAGGGTAAAAACGTTCATTTTGAGAACAGGATCCCATTGGCACTCTACGTGTGAGTCTACTTATGAGAAGTTTACTTGTGATAGGAAGTCGCGGGTACATTGATGACCAACTTTGAGACTGCGATCTACAAATGTCACTCTGCATTTGCCGTTAATGGATGGTTAGGAATATGCATAATTGTGCAGTCTATGTGAATCGTTTTTTTTCAGGTAAATTGACTTAAAATAGCCTCTGAATGCGCAAAGGTAAGTCTGCAAGACTCATTTGGCACATGAAGGCGAAAACACAAGCACACACACAGAGAGAGAGAGGAGGAAGGCAAGTGGCGGAGCGTAGGCAGCGAATCCTGGCTCCACGACACCATGAGAATTAGATGAAACGCCTGCACACCAGAGCACACGCACACTGCTGCCGTCTCACGTCAGGCTCTTGCATTGGAATACGTAATCACACACCAGTGAGTGAAGTCGGGCTCTGATGAACCAGTTTTTACCAAAAGAATTCATTAAACGATAGCCCTTATCAACACTTAAATGACATCTTCTAACTGCAGACACCTTTAAGGCAAAAGATGCAAATTATTTTACTTAGAGTAGAAGCCAATTTACCCACCTTTCCCAAGTACCGTTCTCAGCAGAATATTTAATTTTGCCACGTAATGGGTGGTTGCGACAAGCAACTGCTGTTTCTAATCCAATGAGGAGACAGTGTCAGTGGTAACTACTTTTTAGTAGCAACCAAGACCCGGTGACACGAGTTGGTCCCTTTCTGCTTGACTGAAAGCGGAAGCCCTTATTCCGATGCGTTGGTTTTAAGAGGTGCTGGTAACGCCCTCTTCCGATTAAGGCCACTTTTTAAACAAAGTTTTTCTATTCCTGAACCAATAATTCAAGCCAAAAGAAGTGAGGGAAAGAAGGAATATATAGGGCAAACAAATGGTTGTGAAGAGAGAGGAAATTCGAATCGAAGGAGTGAGATAAGTGTCTGTTAAAAAAGGCTTGTTCAAATTGCAGGCATTGGTCTAATTACATTTTGGATTAAAAAAGAGCCATCAATACCTGTCCGGGATTCTAGTACCTATGTCTGCTTCGGTTCGCAGATTAGCAAGCCCAGTCTTAGTACCTATAAACTTCAAATAAAGCCAGGAAATACTGCAATTGGTCCACACTGAAAGCGGTAAAGGTTGGAAACAACCATATTACGCCAACTTCAGACCTCTTTCTTGCCCCTTTTCAATCCATTCCCTAGGGCGTAATCCTTTCACACAGTGAATGCAAATAACCATCAGTCTTCGAAGGCTTTATGACTTTATAACTCCGTTTATACAGTGGCATTTGAACAACAGACTGAAAAATGTCAATGTTCCAAACAGAGTTTAGTTGACTACCAAAACTTTAAAAGGAGACTAGTCTCGGAGAGTCCAAAGGGTTCAGGAAGTAAACGGATTTTAAGACCGAAGACCTTCGCAATGAAGTTCAACAAATCAAAATCAACAAATCAAATCAAAAAAAATCAATCAAGGCCAAAAACTAAAATACCATGTTTAATTGATGGTCATTGCATGAAAGAGTGCAAACTCCACGATTTACTTGGTTCTACCGTGGAGACGTTAGCTCAAATTTTTGTATTTAATACCAAACGCTGGAAAGACTGCCTGGGTAATGAATAATGAACGGTCCTTTTCGTGACTTTTCACAAAAACCAATCCTCACCTGTGTCCTCTTGGCTGCAGAGAATGGTTTCATGATCGTCATCCTGCTTGGGCTCACGTTGGAGCCAGAAGGAGAGGGTAAAGTCACGTTCAAAAAGAGTGCTTGGCAGCACTTTCTCCTGTCCACTGCTGGCAGCGGAGGCAGCGTCCAAGAGTCGCGAGGTGTCTAGACGCCACCCGGAGTGTGCGACGGCAGAGAAGAGAAGGCCTAGGGAGAGGGGCACCACCTCTGGCAATGCGCCCACTGCTGGTGCAATGTGCTGTATCAAAATATCCTTCTGCGGGTCTGGGAGGAGGTCAACCAGCGTCGCCGTATCGATTGCTGTAATGAGGAATGGTTAGGCCATGAAAAGGAGTGGACTGTCAACGTATCGGTACGAAAGGTGGGTCGTGATAGTACCCAACTTAAGGGTGAACGACGAAGGAGATCACAGAGTAGGTGCGGCACAGTTGGAGTCAAGAGGGAGGAATGTGTTTAAACGCATTGATGCCACTCTTCCAAATTCAAAATTCGGGGAAATAGAGGACTTGAAATAAGCAAAAAAAAAAACCTGTCTCGATAGCTTTATGCCTCAAAGTATTTTTCTTTTCAACACGCAATTGGTATATTTAGACTAGCTCACATCGTCTCTATTTTAAGGCAAGCAGGTTAAATAGCCTTCTTAGAAGGGGAGTGGAATCTTTTTCTTAATTCCTGATGGAATTATGATTTGATAACTTAAAACAAATTCTGGCGTCCTTGGTATTCAAACTACTTAACTTTACCTTCAAAATCCGACATTTTGTGTCAGCCGTCAGGAGCTGCTTCAAAAGAACAATGAAAGCTGGTTATAATTTGACGGATTTTGATGAATTCCACAGAAATTATACGTGAATTTACAAGTCTCAAACTTTGTATTCTCACTGATTAGAGTCAGGTTGAGTGCTTGTATTCAACTGAGGGGCAGGCGTTCCAAAAAGATCTAATGCCCTTCATCTTCAAGTCGTCATGCATTAGGTTTTCAAATAAGTCGGTGAACACTTCCAACTGATGTTTGATGAACAAGGGCTTGACGACTGGCAATGCAATTTAGTGCAGTTGCGGCTTCATTGACTGTTCGAAGTAGAAGTGCAAATGACAGATAATGTGGAAATCTAATACCAAAATTCGCAGTAAAGTACAGCATTTAGCCGCATTCCACCAAAGGCGTTATCGCACTTGCAGAGATCGAAGTCTCTTCACAGTAGAATTAACTGCGAAAAGTCAGGCCCTTCTCTCACCCAACGAATTTGAGCTCTGTCGAACCTCCATTCCAAACGTATGAAACATCAAGTGACCAAAAACAGTTTGTGCTTTTTGGTGCAGCCTGCCGCATTGACACGTTTTGACTTGTTGAGACCTCGGAAATGTATGAGATTGTTTCTATGCTCAACAAACCGGACAGGAGTCAGCCCTTCTATAGGGTACTGCTCATCTTCATTATTTTAAGCCATTATCAGTGTTGGCTGGACCCGATGGACGTGGTTCCAGCTTGGCTGCTTTGCGAACCGTAATTAACTTAGCTTCAAAGCTGAAGTAGAAGTGGAACCCCAGCTTCTCATTTGATATACAGAATTTGATAAAGTTACGGCATACGGTAGCTTAATGCAGTGTCCAGAACCAAAAAATTTACACCACTGGGATGGTTCTGCTGATGCATCACTTAAAGGCACAATCAGGAAAAACCCTCTATTCTCAGCCATAATGGATAAAATTAGGCGACGCTGGTGATTAAATCGTTGCAAGGTTAAAGCCACAGCAAAAATTCCAGTCATACTTAAGGTCGTGAGTAGTGACCCAGTTTGTTTACACCATCATTTGGGAAGGACCTAGTGGAGGCTAAGCAAATAGTTGCCAAACGCAGTAATAGGCGACAGACAATAGGCCTCGGCAACTGTCAATTGATTGCTCTTCAACCGCTTCTTTTGTGCCATAAAAACGCACCGAGTGCCTTCGATGGTTGATTGACTTTTCGACTTGTGATGAGAAATGCACCAAACTGTGCTTGCTAGGTGTACGCGTTTGGTGAAAATCAGTTGCAACCACTCACTACGACTTGTTCACATGCTGAAGGACAAAGGACAATTATCATGGAGATAATGTCTACTCGGTACTACCCGATACAACTCAGAAGTGTCGGAAAGGAGGCCTTATTCATGAACAGCCAGGATCAATGAATCTGTCAGAAGGGTATCCTTGTTATTAAGACGTCACACAAGACCTCACACTTCATTCAATCTCAAAACTTGCAGCGAGAAAAATTCAGACCACACTTTGGCACCGGAGTGAATGCTGCATCCTCTCTACTCTCCTGCTGACATTTCTCCAGGTGACGATACCAATCTTTTGTCAGCCTTAGGCAGTCAAATGAAGGCTTGAAAGAGGGAAAAGACAGTTTATTTAGGGATGAAGTAAGACGGAAGTGGAGGTGACTAGGGGCTAGTTCGGCTACCCTGCAGAAAAAACGGTGTGTTAAATTGGGCTTCGCAGGCTTGTCCCTCCTTGGAGAAGGTACGCCTATTAAAGTCATGCCTATTTAAACAAAGAATCGACTTAAAAAGTTAAACATCCACGGAAAACGTTCATTTAATTTCTACTGAAAAAAAACTCCACAGGCTTACATGTTTACCTTATCCCTCGGTGTTAAAGAATTTACGAATGTTTACGGCAATCACTTTACCATGAAACAACAAATATTACGCTTTCATCTTCTGATATTCGCGCCATTATATTAAAATTATATTTTCGCTCAAATTAAGAGTGCTTTAAGAATGGAGGTATCGACTTAACTTTACGGGTCACTTTATGACACCAAAAATAAACTGTACCTAGTAGTTCAAATTCTCATGTAACTAGTAAAACCACCAACATCACAGTAAATGAGTATCTGTAATCCAGCTCTCTCCTTCTTATGCCACCAAAATTCGCATTTTGCATTCACCACACACGCAGTACACCACGCCAGGTCCGGCTCCGTATCGGATAGCCTCACGGAGGCAGCGCATGCGCCGTACGCAGGGTTCCGTCGCAGCGCAAATACGCAGTTGCCGCTGCCGAGGCTCTGCTCCGGTAGGTGCGCACCTTGACCGTTTTTGCGATCAACACCGCATCGCTCCTCCAGCTTCGCGTCTACTGTGCTCTCCATTTGTAAGAAGCATTGTGTGGCCAGCATAATAATAGAAGACAGATTCGAATAGACTAGTTGTGGGGGCCAGATTCAACCTTCACTTCTTGCACCAAAGTACCCCATTCATTCTTCAAAGTAGTAGTGAATTTCAAGACTACTTCGATGGTAACCTAATAACTAAAACAGATCTTATTATCGGGTTTGAAATTACAAAAAAAACAATAAGCCTGATTTTTAATGCCGTAGATAGCCGTAAGCAACTTCCCATTGGTGATTCTCAGGGATAGAGTAGTCCGTAACCAAATCCTCGTAATGCAGAAAATTTATGTGATACGAAGGTTCCTAAGCTTTAAGCTGCAGTAAATAAGGCAAAAAACCTACATGGGAAAGAGACCATCTAAAAGCACCAAAAGGTGATATGAATGGCTGAACCCCAGGGGAGGAGCCAATTCACTCCACTTAGTGCGGTGCATACCAACATTCTCAAAAAAATTACCGACTTTGTATTGCAGACAAGTTGGGCCTCAAAGGGTGCAGTCCTGATCATATGCACTGTTTGGACTTTGTGGGGAAACCAACTAATGAGACATATATGTATTATTTTCCGTTTTTTCGTCTATTGAGACATCTCCGAATAACCTTGATACAAGAATAAGCATTCTAGGGTAGAAAAGAGGAATGAAATGCCATGGGGCATACCAAAGACCCCTGAGACCTCCCAGAGTGACAGTCGCCAACTTTACTAAAACAATTTCAGAAGTCGCTTGTTTTGCCTGTAAATGAGTCAGCTCACGGTAAGGAGCGGAATCGCTTCACACACTCATTTTGGGTGAGCTCAAAATGTCACATATTTACCTTACTGCTCCAGTTTTAGCACACATTTCCATTATAAACGAATGCCAATTGCAATGTAATTAAAGAATGAGGAACGAAGACAATGGGTGAGGTAACATCATATGATCCAGTCCAAAAGTGCTAAAGAGTTAGTCAGTGAGGCTAATTTTTCGTGAAAATCACAGGCTACATTTACTGAAACGCTATATCATTGGAAAAGCGTCCTTACCATCATATCAACCCTTTATGGTTATAACCTGTCAAACCTCCGACTTTTAATCTCCGCCGATGTTCATTTGAGAGGAATGGGATCGGAGAACAAGAGAAAGCAAGTAGACGTACCACAGAGTTGGCGCTGCTCATGAAGATTGCGAGGGTCATGACGACAGAAGGAGGGTGAGGCCGTGATGAGAGTTTCCCCGGGTAGACCGTGACGGAGGCTCACTTGGGTGAAGATGTGTGAGTCAGCCTCATTGCAGGTCATCCCACACATGTCGAGGTGGTAGGTGAGGGGCCAGAGCAGACGCTTCGGTTGCTGCTCACCCAGTGAGTAGTACAGTGATGTGGGCAGCCCTACAACAGTGGCATCCTGCATGAAGTCTCATCCACCTCCTTTAGTCTTAGTAAGATTATTTTTTGGTTGGCATATTTCAAACACTACTTTTCTTGCTAATGAAGTCCTGTGAGATTCCCATATCGACTCAAGAGGAAGGTTAGTACTCTGAGAGCGAGCGAGGCAATATTTCATATAAAGCAGGGCACACCAAAGCTACATCTCTCGGCGATTGTTTATTGCCTTGTTTTTGAAGGTACGTAAAAAAATGAACTTTTACCGAGGGAATCTGAACTATCTCAAACGCTGTGCTAAACTCAATGTGATCCACGTTTAACGTTCTGCGTTAGTCAGAAAGCATTCCTTTAAAGTAGACAGTTATTTAATTCAAATATTGCCGGAAAATAGAATATCCCACTTTATATCTAGAGTTTTCATTTACTAACTGTTGTTGGAAAACACCTTTGGTTCTCTTCGTAATGAAGAGGATACATTACTGCTTCATTCTGGATTTGTTGAATCTCCATCTTGAAACACCCGTGATTTTCCGCACCGCTGACTTTCGACAGATCCCATTGGTTGACGCACGTCAAATGAGTCATTACCCATTCTCAAACAGAAAAGTTGACCACCAATGGAGGTTTATTTGTCCTAGGGAGGGGCTTCTCTGGGGGCGCAAAGTAGACCCTTGATAGAATGACTAAATACAGCTTAATGTAGTGGTGTATCAATTGCAAAGGACGTATTAAACTGCATGTACCCCAAAAAAAGTTTGGTGGGAAGGGCAAAAAAGAAGGTAACAATCTGGAATTCTTTCAAAAATTAAAGAATCAAGTACTTTGGATTTGGAGGCATCGCTTTGTATGTCCAGATGTATTTCATACCTGACGAAGGAACGCCCGAAAATTCATGTGTCGAGAGGGCTCTCTGGTTACCTCAGCACAACCGTATTATAGATCTCAGTTTCCTACCTCTGCATGAAAAATCAAGTTTAGTTCATAAGACCAAGTACAAAAACTGTCCGGTTGCAACCGACAGTAAACACAAAAACTGAGCGAACCACTTTGCGATTAAACCGGATGGTAATTGTGACGGAATAAGCACCAAAACCCTGGAAAGCTTGGATGAAGTCAGATCCGAAATGACTGGCTACGAAGGATTAATCCAGCCCAACCTACAAAGATGGTTCTACTTAACACTTTTGATATTTTCCTCACCAACGGCGCAATTTTAAGTACTCAAAACCCACTCCTAATTAAAGCCCACTCATTTCTAACTCCAAGACAGGCCCTCGTGCATAATTTAGTTTTTTGTAATGCCCTAGACGCATTAATGGAGTCCAGCTTGAATGCAACTTTTCATTTAGCCAGAGCACTGACAGTTGGAGATAGTGTAGAATGGGGACTCACCACTCCATCGGGGTTCGCATTTGCTCTGGATGACCTTAATATTGACGACAGCCGTGGCGGATTCAACTCCTGCACCGCCGCAGTCATTGTACCGCACGAGGAAGCGGAAATTCCTCGGAGAGGCATTAGTGAGCACTTCACGAGATCGGATGACACCTGTCAAAAGTAGATTGCTAAATTATCCAAGTTAATAAATTATACTAGGAGTACAAAAGTAAGTGAGGGTTCTTGCTTATTCAGTCCGTTGTCTTGGCCTACCCTTTACCAGCGCTTCCACCATTACTAGAGTTGCTTTCACTACACGCAATAGCTTAGCCTTCAATTACTTTCTTATAAAGGCTAAAATAGAGGTCGGAATGCCTAAAGTTCACAGTTCCATTTGCCCTAAAAGATATTAAAAAGCATTTAGGAACTGGTCATAAATCATCAAATGAGCTACAGCGCACCTTACTTCCTTGTGGAAAGCTAGATAAATGTTTAACATCCTTTCTCAAATGGTTTATTTCCAAAGGTTTATTGGGAATGAATAAATGTATAAATTTTTCTTTCTGATAACTGTTAATGTGCCTTTAGAGTGGACAATTCACATATTCCACAGTCCCAAAGGTAAGACACTAAAACTTCCTATTAAGTACTAACGAAGGACTTACTTCAACAAATTTGCACATACTTTTCCTACATTTTTACTACGAGTAGCGACCAGCCAATTAAGATCAACCATCTGGTAATATTTTATGAGGTGGTGAAAGTAGGCCAGAATGGTTTAAGGCGGGGGGACGCTGTGTACCAAGAAAGTGGTCACACAGTGCGTCGGGTTGTAAAATTCGCATTAAAGTGGTTGCAGAATTCGAACTGATCCCACCAGCCTGCGTTTACTGTGCAGTGTAGCATGGCACGGTGTCAATAGGAGCAGGGCAGTGAGCGCTCTAGTGGATCACCGTTGTCACGTGCGAGCGCAGTTGGCCCTCCGCGCCAACTCGCACTGACCAACGATGCAGAGACTGAGTGGAGAGGACACATGGTGAAATGTGATCCCTGGCAAGGTATGTGCCTCTTGTATGTGTGTGTATGTTCGGTGTGCATGACCCTGTTGCTTGCCAAAGACTTCCCCACTTTTTTCGTCTTGGGAGCTGCAGGGTATTGCCAATTAAGAGACACAAAATCTCAACGTACTTTCTGGGATTCCTTACAAAAAGGATTCCATTAAATTTCTGTTGAGCAATCTCATTTGTATTCACGCTTCAGTTACGCTTGGTAAAGACGTTTTCGATGCCAAAAACAGGTAACTCACATGGCCTGAGGTAATTTTTGCCAAAATAACTCAAATAAAAGTTTCTTTTTATATGGAAACTTGCTTGGTTGCTTCCCGTTGGCGAAATACAAGGAATAAAGGCACAAATTGGGAAAGTTTAGCTGGGTTTAAAGTGCAGAGGCCTTCGTTTTCACTTCACTCACCACAATTACACTCAACCTAACTAGTCACTCCCTAATGAAAAGGGTGTGCTAATGACATGGAAAAAGTAAGGCAGGAACCTCCACGAGGTTTACAGGTGAGTACACAACTTCAACGTCTATTTAAGGTGTTTCACCCATTCGCAGGTGAAAGTTTTCCCGTCATCTAAGCCTTATTTTCTTGTGACAACGATATCACAATAGTAAACGATCATACCCCAACTACTTGTCATTTAAATCAACAGATTTAGACCCTAAAATTCAAATATGTTTGTTCACATTTCAACAAGATTAAAGGAATCTTGATAGCACTCCTAATCTGAATTAGCTCATACATGGGCTTAAAGGTAAAAGTCATATCATGTCATGGAAATCAAAGATTTGGTCAACGGAATCTATAAAAATAGGCAAAAAAAGGTTTGGAAAATAACAATTTTCAATACATGGGGATAAAAACTGTCGTTATAGACCCACCAAGGCATTCTTAAATGTCTGCATCTACTAATAAGTTGGAGACATCTTGATATGGTTCCACCCAAACCCGGTCTGCGGACACGGGTCACAGATCACAAATGTGTCAGGAAAGATGGAAGCCTAATGCCAGTCTCACATTTATGGCTGCTGATCAGTACAAGATAGCTAAAAATACACCAAACTTCCATTTTTGCCGGTGATCGTTTGGTAGAGCTAACTACCCAAGTGTTATTGAGGACGAAAAGGACCTTTGATCAGTTAAGGAAACTACATAACTACAGAGCTGCTGTAAAAAAAATATGGAGACCACTATGATCGTGAGCTGGATCTGAACCCATCCGTCAAATTCATTAAGACAATACTCAAGAAATAAGCAGGAAACATCATTTAGGCAAAAGACAACACTTAGACAAAAGTAAGGTGGTTACTTTTTTGCAAGATATGTCTACGTGCACTAGCTCGCAATCGTCAGTACAAACCGCTGTTTTCACGATGACAATTTGGCATGAATTCTTTCCGTGAGTAAAACTACGCAAAAGGCTGCCTGTTCTGGATTCCCATAATGGTAATTCAGTGATGCTACTGTGTTTGAGATCAACCCAACGCGAAAAAGTAGGGAGCATGGCCAAACCGAATCCTAAATAAATGGCGTGCCGCGAAAAAAGCAAGGCGGTAAAATTAATCATTCTCTACAAAATAAGGCATCCGGAACGACAGCCTACAAAGTTAATGACTCATTTCACTATGCAAATAATTTCAGGTGCATTTGTTCAAAGAACCTTCATTCAGCGGGACAGTTCAAAAAGATCTGAAGTGATTTGTGGTGATGATAATCAAGCCGCTAATTCTTTCTCGCAAACATAATTCTTAATTTAAATATTAAATGATGTAATAACCAGCCCTTTGTGACGCTTCGATACCAAACTTCCATTCCCACTTCAAAACATGAAAGAATATCTTTGGCACTAAAATGGCCTATTCAAAAAGAAGAGGCGGTAAATTTGTACAACAGGGGATAAGGCAATTTAAATGATCGCTTTGAATCCATTTACAAAAAAATATTTGCAATTCACAAACAGAATAAAATGCATATCTTTTAAAATGATCGGCACTTCTGTGAGAATTTCATGGAACCAATTAAACTTCTACAAGCGAAATACAGAAGCAAATGCAACACCGTTTGTGCCTAGCCGGCCACCATGAAACATTAATAATCTTGTGCAAAACTTTCACCTAGATCTAACAAAGAGATCGTTCTTAAGAAGGTGGTTTGTAAAGTGTTATGCATGCACTTGTTTGGGCCCACCCTCTACACACCCATCGGTTGTTGCTAAAACACAACAATACCAGGCATTTGTGATCACAGCTTTCCCTTTGTGGTGATATTTGAGTGAAAATATGCATTCTGAGAAGAATTGAGAATGGTCCTACCGTGAGAGTCCACGGTGAAGGGAACCATGTCACCGGCAAGAAGAGAGTAGCCACATTGATAATCTGCAAGGCTGATTGGCGGAGTGAAGGTCTCATGCGTCACAGTGACCTTACCGCAGATGGCACCCACACTGCTATAGGTCACTGCTGAGAAGTTGTAGACGCTCTCAGTAAAACGCAGCTCCTCATCTGCATGGACGTTCACATTCACCAAAACTCTGAAAACCAACAGCAAAATAAAAGAAATTTCGGCATCTTCCTAACTTTCATTCCTTTGAAAACAGTGGATGGCACCAATAAACAAGCACTCAGGGTCCTATACATCCGAAGTAATGCTGGTGATAAGAAATAAACACAGAGGTCTCCATCGCTTAGTTCATTCAATAATATGGGAAGAGAACTGAAGCTGAGCAACCAAGCAATTATCAGTGACTTAGGCTGCAACAATTTAAGTGGTATTTAAAAAGCAGATCGAATTGTTTAAGACGAGGGTCTTGCATCACACTAAGTCTCAAAATGTTTACAGCCAATGGAATGAGTGCAAATCTTTAGCGCCTGACCAGTCAGATTAAACAAGCTCTATTAGTGCCTCTTTGAGTGACTTACAGCTTAATGGAGCGAGCGTAGGGTACAAAACTACAAACTCTATTTAGACAATAAGCAACACAAACATGGCGATCCCAATTCCCGACAGACAAATAGCGCCACAGTGAAAGTAATCACTTTCAGTGAAACTAAAAAGAGCAAGATTGCTAGCAAACCCAGAGAATTGCTTGTTTCTCTGAATCCAAATAATAATGAATCATGATATATACGTTCAGTTTTCAACCAAGAACTTGCAATTATTTAATGAAAATTATGGGTTCATTTGACATGTGGGAACATTCAACGAGGTTCAAACATTCATAGCGAGGACATTGCACAGTCAAACTTAAACCAACGTCATAGGTTACTTGTGTATTTAGCTTCCAACTTTACGTATTTAAAAACTTTATTCCAAAAATTCCCAGTGTGGACATCTTAAACTAAAAAAGAAGTGATTTCAACAAAATACATGTACCAGACAAACGCTACGAAAGTTCTAGTACTATCAGAAGGGTCAGATTGATTTAAGATGATCACAGTAACGAGAAATAATGAGTGTCGTTGAAACTGCAATATACAAATCGACGAAACTACCTTTCTGAATAGTTTGGCGGTGTGTCGCAATCATAGGCTTCAATCTGAAAAGTGTGCATTTTGTTCTGGGTAAAATCCACAGGAACGTCATTGCGTACTCGTATTTCTCCAGTTCCCAAAGTGGCATTTTTTAAATCCACTTCAAATGGAAATTGATATTCATCCTTTACGATCAAGTGAAATCCGCATATTTGTTTCGATCGGCTTGAAGTTGGATTTGCAAAAGCTCTTAGTTTTGGGGAGAGCTTTACGGATGCTTCATGTTTCATTAGTTGTCCCACGTAGACATTGCCTGAACCCATGGGTAAATCGAACTCAACAGCAGGTCTAAAGCCAAAACCTTTGCTGCGTAAGTATTTCATAAAACTGAATACCTTGGTAGAGGAAGAGGCTTAGCAGAACGGTAACGCCCAGCAAGTCCATTTTGCGCTGCGGAATGGACCCACAGAACCAAAATTGCGCAAAGCTAATAAACGACCTTACAATGAATCGAATATGCCGTGACACATTAAAACGGTGCTCTTAGGGTTGCAAGTTGTAAATAAAATTGCAAAAGCAAAAATCGCACACTGTGCATATTGTTTAAAAAATATGCAGAGCATCTTTTGTGGCACTAAAATAGTAGACAATTTGTCGGATTTTAGCACCGTGTAAATAGGACTTCTTCATGATCACGAGTTCTTACGACAAATTGAAAGTTGTAGGCAAAACCCCTGAACAATGTTGACTTTTAGAACAAAGCGCCTGTAGTCCCGAATCAACTGGCTAATTTTTGCACTTGTCCACTTTCTATGCTGTGAATAATCCCAGACCGAAGACAATCTGAATTCCCCGTTTAGCAAATAATGTTCCAACATAGTAATGTCGCACACCTAAGTAAGCGTGACGTTGCCACTGCTATTTTCTCAGTTTAAATTGACATACGGTTCCGACGTTAATCTCTCCTTCCTCCGACTTCATGCCGTTGGATGGAGATGAGTGGCTGAAGATGACCATCCCTTGCTCGAAAAGTGCGGGGACAGGATTACCAAATTTCTAAAAGATTAAAGCTTTCTTTCTTTTGGGAACCGGTGTCATCCGTGAGTGTGCGTAAGTCGACCGCATTTCGCTTGAAAGGCTTGTACAAACAGAGGTGGACCAAATTGATCGACTTGCTAGATCATGAAAATAGTCTTTCTGTTTTACTAAAAACATTTTTAAGAATTTTAAGGATCATCTTAAAGTTCTGCAATTTCTTTTGGTTCCTGAATGTACGGATTGTACATTGTCCTCGCAACTTTTTAAACGGTTGTTTACTAATTGACCCCATCTAACCACACGAAAGACCAGTCCGATATTCTTTGCTAAATTCCTGAAATAAGGGTTTCATTTGATAAAGTGGCATTGTCCTGCTGTTGTACTTATTTGTACTGCAGTTATGGGTGTTTGTCAGTGGACGGAATCAAGATCATCCCAGATTTAACATGTCACGTATGGTGCATTGGTGAAATCACTATCATCTTTTATTCTATAAGTACCTGATGTGTACTCGATCGCTTAATTACCAGTGCACAGGGAGCATAATATGATTCGTGGAAAAACAAAAGTTGAGGTGGTATACCTGAGCCTGGATTTATTTCTAAGCAGAGTATTTCAGGGCAAATTTGTGAGGGGAACGCTTTCACTTAATTTATCACCTGGTGTATTACTTAACAGAAAAATGTCACAACAACGCAAGCACTTTGTAGCGTCCCAAGACTTCTCTGAAGATGAAAGACGGCATAATACTTGGGCAGAACAGGTGTTGTCGACCTACAGACGGGTTTGGGGCCACTGGCATGGCCCAAAGCCCTAGCTCAGTCTTCATCAGAACCAAAAGTTAAACAGGCGACCAGAATACTACATTCGATCCCTGTCGAGATGACAAATCTCACTGTTCTAGGCATACCTAACCACTTCATTGCATTGATATTGCCGAATATTTATGTTTATTAAGGCAATGAATTTCCCAAACGTTCTTGAATTCTTAGAGGAAGAAACTTGTTTTTAACTAAGTAATTATTTTGTAATGGGAGCTTTTTGTTAAAGCATTAAGATACGGTCTACGTCTTGGTTTTGTTGCTGCATACTTAACAATAACGAACGCTTTAATTGTTACTGACAAGTATCCTCCTACTCGTTCCTTCAAGGTGAAAAACAAAAGCAGGTCATCTGACTTCCATTGTGTCAACAACGCGTGAGGAATTTACACTCAAAGTAAAAATTTTCCCAAAATGGCACTTCCGCCACACTCATCAAATATTCTACACACTCTCACAAATTAGCAAAATGAAAAGAAATGTTTATTTAATTTCGGACAGGATATATTGCCCACAAAATATGCTACTGCATAAATTAAATTATATACAAGTTCCGAGTCACCCTAACAACTAATGACCATCACGATGAAGCAGGTTTAGGTAACACAGGTGCCTCGCAATGTGATTCTTCTTCACGCCATTCACCAGAACGCCGTCACAGCAATCCTTCTCATAAGTGTGGGTAGAGTTTCGTTCAACATCGAATCGCACGCCTTTTTTAGAAAACGCAGACAGGAATTGGCTGATACAATCGGGAGAGGTGGTACCTGTTCGCCCAATTCCTCCTCCACCGGGTGCGGTCATCAGCCGCTCCTTCATCTCCTCGTTTGCTCGCCGCAATATCGATTTGCATGGTGTTTCCCCTTCTTCTTCCACTAGGGATGGCGGTGGTGTAGACACGCTTGATCCGAAACTCGATGTAGGGGAGGAGAAGCTATCTTCCGTGCGCGGGGACGGTGTTTCAACATCCAATTTCTCAGCTTCGCTATTCAAGCAGGGTGGAAAGTAGGGAGATGCAGCGTGACCTGTTAGCGTCGGTAGAACCCGTTTTACACTTTCAAACGCTCGTGTATCTTCCACAGGGGAGGGCAGGGGAGACACGTAAGAAACCTTTCGTCCAAAGCTTGTAGTCGGGACTTGATTCGCCGCAGATTCAACAGGCCTGATAGAGTACTTCTGCGGTTCTTGATAAGAAGAAACACTGCTACATCTGTAAGTTCGAATTCGGAAGTGAGTGACCGGAGGCTGAAGAGTCATTTGAGAGCAGAGCAGACTGGTAGAGAGGAAGTTCAAACTTTGCTGCTGTTGTTGTTGTTGTCTTCGGCGTCTCTGCAACTGAATGAACGTGGGATCCTTGATGCGAAATGAACGATAGGGCACAGTGCTTGGTAGGCGTGGAAAATCAAATTGCGTGGTCATCCAACTGGAGAATTATAATGTTTTCTAATGACCTCCTTGCTGAGGTGTGACGACAATGTGGTGCATCACCTTCAGGCCTTCCCGTCAGCCAATCAGAGGCCTCCCATTCGCTGTGCGCGTATGTGCATCCTCCCCTGTGTTTGGTGTTGCCGTAACAACGTGTGGGGGCTCGTTTGACTTAATACTAATATAGTCAATGATGTTTCAAATCAAACGGAGTAAAAGTACCAATATTACTCCTCCCCTGAGTCTGTATAGCCTCTGCAGGATCAAAGGTGGTGTAAGTTATCATTATTTTAACACAAGATTTATTTTTATCGATTTCATAAGGTATAAATCGCTGTTTTTATTCCTGTGGAACACATTGCAATGCCTTAATTGTTTGTTTGACCCTCAGTTTAGGTAACGGGCCACTTTGGGGCTCCGCCACAGTACCTGCACCGGGTAGGCTGGTCTCCGAGCCCCTCCGTAGGTCAATAGTACATATCCTACCCAAGTATTATGTCTCCTTTCGTCTTCTGAAAAGTCTTGGGGCAATACGTACATAAACGCTCAAATTAAGCATCATTTCTTATGAACTAAACTGGTGCCATAATTCCTCATTTTAAATAATCGAAAAGGGCAAACTTCACACGCTTTTGAGTCCGTCAGCTCAAATTCCAATCTGTTATAAGCAGGATTTTTTCCTGATTTCTTAAAACACACCGACTTCCGATTCTTCTTCGATCACTACTAAGTTAAGCCTTTTTGGAAAGGATGTGTGACGATATGTCTGGGGTGAACTAGCATCCACGCCGATTCTAAGAGGCCTCCCTCTGTCAAATGCGTAAAATGATGAGACGGGCTGAATAAAAGTAAATTAGGCTAAAGTGAATTGCTAATTAGAACTCTGTGGCTTACCCAGACTGTTCGCAAGCAATTTATGATGTACTTCAGCCCTCCGCGTCTCGTCAATCGCTGAGGCGCCTTGCATGATGGAGATGGGGAAAGGTCATTGAAAGTTCATTCCTGTGCTTTACGAGCTAGCGGAAAACTTATTTGTCTAAATTACAGTTTTTTTTTCTCAAAGCCAAAGCCGTTGACCCAGGTCACCACCCTCATGCTCACCAGTGGAGACCTTGTTATCATTTGTATATTCTCTCGATTAAGACAAAAGAAACGATGTCTTGAGGGTTAAATAAAAGTGCTTGGAAACCATAAAGGTGGCTCCATAAAGTCCAACTCCAGGAGGGTGAACATTTGCAAAAATGGATGAGTTCTAAGAAAAGGATAGCGTAGGAATGTTGAAACCACCTCCATTTTAGGCGGAAATACAACGTACTGCAGCTTACATCCTACAGACTTCTACCATGAAAGAAGTTAAATAACTTATTAATCTAGAGCAGGATACATTCTGCACACCATAAAGGTAGCAAAGAGTAGTCGGAAAAGAAATGTTTCCTAATTATCAGTTAGCTGTTCACTGAAAAAGAAATTGAGGATGAATTTAATTAAACAATGTGAGTCGGATCGAAAGAATATCCGTCGCATAAATGGCGTAAGAAACTATTTGGCAACTACACTGCCATCCTTGTGTAGCCTTCTGACACTTCTCTGAAGGTAGAGGAAGAGATAATACTTGGACAGAATATGTATTGTCGACGTGCAGAAGGGGTCGGGGCTACTGGCATGGTTTGGAGGCCGGGCCGACCTGCGTAGGTATGATGGCGGGGCTCCTGAACGGCCCGTTAACAAAGAGGAGAGTTAGCTACACAATTAACGTCTCATACTTGATATGTGTAGTAGTACTATCAACGAGCCATCATTTGTGGTTCCAGTAAGGCGACCGGCGGATGTGGGTAGCAAAGATGTTTCATTTATCCATGATTTTTGTCAGTCCACCCCAAACTGGAGCAGACGGCATGAAGATGCACAGAGTCATGTTGAATCACGCAGCTGCCCTTGAATAACCCTTTCGACCTTGTAGAGGAGTTGTTTTCTTGTTGCATCTGATGTTCGGAATAACTGACTCCGAAAAATCGCGTTGATTCTCAAAGACATCCCTTAATATGTCACGGATTTTGTTAATGACGCCTAAATCTATTTGATAACCTCAAAATTTTAATTAGCATTTTATTTTTTTCTATCGCAGTGGAAACACACCGAAAAAGAGACCAAAAGCTCGTTTTCAATGTCAAATACAAAGACCCTAGCAGAATTTCAGACTTATTCAATCTCAAATTGCAACACTTTGAGTCTAAGGTGTCAAGACTACAATCGTCATTAAAGGAGGAACCCCCTAGTAGAGCTGCGATTCCATGTTCATTACTTGCGAGGAGTCAGGCTGAGCCTTAACAGCAGAAACGTCAGTATTCTATCAAGGTGACGAAAAAATCTCCCAGCGATTCCAATTTGCTTTCATTGTACAGAATTTAGTCATTTGTAAGTTGATTTGCACTCCAGGTGTCACACAAACCGCGATAATGCTTTCGAGACAAGTAGCCCTCATGATACAAGTTTTACGCCGAACCTCGGAGTGGTAGCATTAAGGAATCCTACACCGTTCATAAGTTGGGTCATTCTTTTGTGCACGCTAATTTAATCTCCACAGATGTGCTCAATCGGTACGACTTTGAGTTAGTACCTGGTCTTCTAGCTACGTCAAATGTGGCAACTCTGAGGCCCGAATAAGGCAATAATTATTCTGCTCATTTGCGTCATCGGTGTATCCAAAAGGCTCTTGTCTGATTTCACCACTACTAGGGCACTTTTTTCGTTGTGCTCCGTCCGTGCTTAAAGCCTCTAAGCCCTTCTGTAGCCCAGTGAAAAACCCTCCCCCATAGTCACTCAGCTTTCAAGAATGAGTGAGTTGCAAAATCAAAGAGAATATCAGTGTCAGAGTAAGCAGAAGGAAGCTAATCACCTTCCAAGATAACTCCGCCGTTATCAAGTGCTCGAGATATACGTTTTTACGCACTTACCGGAGAGCTAGTGGGTTCCACTCAAAGGAAAGGCTGACTCAATGAACCAGGAACATCTCCATTGAGCACTAGTAAAGCAAGGTCGGCAACTTCGATTTACCATCTATGTAAACCAAAACCACTGAACTCGGAAGACATTCAGACTCAGACTCGGGTTCCATAAGAAAGCACTTTTCAAATTAGTAAAACCACTATTTGACTGAGCTTAATTAGTGCGTCTCCGACTGGACAGCTCCGAGTTAAATTAACTAAGCCTGAGTGCAGCCGTTCAGTACTGTACGCCATATCCTGTATTCTTCCTTTTTTTGCATTGCATTGTCAAAATTTCACCCAATTTTTGTACAAAAAATTTAGTTATAACAAACAACTAAAGCATTACTATTTCTAGCGGCAGGAAACGTCAAAGGAACTAAACCAACACTTCAATTAACTCGAAAGTAAAAGGTGATGAAGATAAAACTATTATTATGAAAAGATAAAATATGAAATAAGAGTAATAACATTAGCAATGAAAACGACAAGGAAGTAGGGCAAAGTGACAAAAATGGTGAAAAAATGAAGCAGACAAATGAGGTTAAAGAAGTAACAAAAGAAGTGGGTGGTTAAAATTTGAAAGTCAGATAGTCATACAAAATGCTGGGTAGATCGAGACGGGATAGATAGATAGGAAGGAGAGAGGGAATTTGCCGTTTGATAGCCAGACGTGAGAGAAATTGTAGTGAGGGCACCCAACCTGGCAAGAGTAACAGACATTGAGCTAGTCTATCATATGAGACCCGTGCTCAGACTATAGCCACAATGCAAAGATTTACCGACCGCTCCGACAAGTGATTGTAAAGGAAAGGTAGCGTCACAGCGTTGGTTGTTTAGATAAACAAGTTCATGTAATTAAGAGCCCTAGATTCACGAACAATGTGCGCAACAGATCAGACTGAACCTATAAATTGCGGGTGAGTGGAAATCTTAACCTACTTAGAAAAAAATATGATTATTTCCTGATTCGTGCTATTTAAAAAAACAAGCTAAGGGAGAAAAAAAGTAGGTGACCATACATGATAGCAAAGACCCCTCCCCCAATTGGTCGGATTTAACTTTTCCCCACAAAAGTAGCAGTGTTCCATGTATTCCGACTCTCATAGCTGTAGAAACAAAAAATAATGCACCATCTTTTCCAAAACGAAGTCACACATGATATTTGAGGCGAGTTTCAATGAAATGTGAAAACTGTAACCATAGTATTATTTTTTATACAAAAAAGCAATATAGACAAAAAGAAATTGTCTGTTCGGTCATGTCCACATAGAGTCCACTTTTGCAGCAGGACATGGCAAAAATGCAAACTCACCGATTTGGTAGAGAAGATTTCGACTTTAAAGATAGAATAGTTTTGGGAGGAAATGACCACTTCCAATGTTATGCAGCCATGCAGTTTTGGGGTTTCAAAATGCGAAACATACCACTCGCGGGTAAGCTACGAGAGTGCTTTACCATTCTCTTTGACTGTTGCAACACCGAAATGGCCAAGTTCACAATATTATTAAAGTTTGTATAAAAGTTTATCGTAGCTACGTGAATCAATGTTATTCTCTTGGGTGTTATAAAAAACACGTGACTAGGACTCAAAAACCAGAAAAAAAAATTTAGTTCTAAAGGAACTCTGTGAACTTGGAAGTAATGACCCTGTAAACTAAATGAAGATGGTATTTGCATCGATTATATAGTTTATCTAACCACGGGGCGGAAAGGAGTTTTCCGGACGCAAAAACTTCAGGAAGTGAAATTACAAGGTCCTCTGGCAGGAGCATTAAAATCAACAAAGGATTTGTTCGTAAATAGGTACGCATTGGCCCAAATCCGTCACAGCTAATGGCACGTATAACTCACCGCGCATTTGGACAGTACGCAGACGGCCTTCACGCACGCATGGTAACAATATGCTCTTAAATACTACGCCCACTTATCTCTTCGTTACTCGATGAGAAAGAACTATTACTACCAAACTGAACATTTATCATTCCCTATAACTCGAAGATAACGCCTGTTTGAAAGAAAGTGAATTCTATAATGTCTCAAAAATAAACACACAGTTCACCACCTAAAATCACGGACAAACGTGTCGTCTACTGAATGCCTTAACAGTTAAGTGTGTGAAACATCAATAGGACGCAAAGAATTATTCATAGCTAGGAACAAAAAGTCGGAAACTGTAATGGAATGGTAGGCTCACCAGTGTAAGCAGAGATAAGTTTGTAGATGGAAGAATCCTTTTCAACAAAATCGATTGGTCGGCGTCCCCTGAAGTCGGTCGGCGAGGCAAAAGCACCGTAGTGTAGCAGAAGTCGAACCATTTTCAAGTCGCGAAGTTCTGCAGCGATGTGTAGAGCAGTTGTGAGACGAACGCGTTTATTAGGGTCAGCACCTGGGTAAAACCAACTACGCCTGGGCTTACGTGCATATATTGAACGGAAAACTAAGGGCTGGGACTTACCGGCCATTAAAAGATATTCAACAGCTGGGTAAAACCGGTTTTTAACTGAAACGTGTATCGGACAGAAACCTTTACGATCACAGGCGTTAACGTCAGCACCAGCATCAACTAAGACAACCATTGCATCGTAGTGTCCTAAAAGTTAGAAAAAAAACCAGCTTACCATTCTTAACTGCATTCATAAGTGGGGAGCCCCAATACGCTAGTGGATTAACGTTTGCACCGCCACGAATTAGAGCTCGAATTATCTCAACTGAGCCATTCGCCGCAGCATCACAAATCGGGGTATGACCGTCGACATTATTGGCGTTGACGTAAAATCCTGCTTCGATCAAAACATTTACGGCACTCAAATTTCCAGCCAGACAAGCATAATGCAGGAGAGTATTGTTGTCGGGATCGTGTTCAATTAGGTTTGGCTGAGACAAATGTTGCAAAACCTCCTCCCTTGTCCCTGTCTCAACGGTTTTGATTGCGGCCAGCATTAGGCGGACAACTGCGAAGCTGCAGTTAAGCGCCTTTGATTAACACACACGAAGCCAAACCAGCAATTGGTCGGGTGGTTACTGCAACAGACGCGCGATAACTAGGACGCGTGGTAAATTCACAAACACCTATTTGTTATTTGGTTAAAAGCATTAACCCTGAATAATTAGTTTGTTTTTGACACTAATTCTCAATGCGTCTTAAAAGTATTGTAAAATCAAGGTCTACACTGATGCGATTTGACCTTTAGTGACTTCATATCCTACAGGTAGTTAGATATTTCGATTATTTGATTAGCTCTTTGTTTTTGATTTTGTTGGCATCTAAGTCTCTAATGTTGCGTTCTTGTTAAGTGATATTTAGCGTCCCGAGACTCCCTGAAGACAAAGAAGACACAATACTCGGGCAGAATATATATTCAGCACGGAGAAGGTGTCTGGGCTATTGGCATGGCCCAAAAGGCCAGCCCACCCAGCAGGGTACAAGGGGGCTAATTCAAAGTACAAAAGTGAAGCCTCACCAATAGCGAGGGATGAACCGCTATCGTATTACAGATACGGTCCCTGAATCATGTCGGTGTTCCTTCAGCTCTTCTGTACGTTGGCGACGCATTTCCTGCCCTGGCGTAGCGATCTGAGGCTTCTCTGAAACAAAAAACAGTGAAATATTTGGGCCAGACGTACAGTCGTGGAAGTGGAGTTGGCGCGATATCAATACTGGGAGGTAAACAAGCACTAACGTATTATACTAGTATTGTAACTTCGACCATTTTCTAAAATGACTTGCATAGCTACATCGATGGTGGCTGAAAGCGAACTTTGTCTTCAGAGATATCTGCCCTAGTTTCGATTACTGAATGCTAAACCTTAACGTAACGGAAGAAAGGCATTTGAGTCTGTGGTGACCCCCAATAGAAGAGCTGAAAATGACTTCCAAATTCGGTAACTACCCCAGTTTCAATTTCTGTAGGAATGACACTAATAACTGAGGCGACGCTAGTCTTGAACCATAAGAGAGTGTTCGTTAAGTAACTGTCTGCGGCACCTACATGAAGTCGTCAATTAAGTAAACAAGCAGTGCCTCCCCCTCTCTACCAGCTAAATAAAACTTAGGTATTGCTGGGCAGTTATGAAGTGAGAACAAAGTGGCAAGGAGGAACAAAAACGAAACATTATTTTCCCAAAACTGTTTAAAACCCCGCCTCTCATTAATTAGCGCTGCTTTTGGTACAGTGTTCTTACAAAATATCAACTGACAAACGAAATGGTCACCACATTCGCCTTCCCCAAATTACAGTTTTTTAAACAGGACGAAACTACTGATCCAGTGGAATTGACAAGGCATATCAGTGACTTTACGGTTAGGTATCATCTCACTTGCACGCAAATTCGATGACTGGCACAGTTGGTTCCCGGGTCTTTTTCCTTGCAGTGCTGACCTTATTGCGATGGCCGAAGCGATAGTATGACCAAGGGAAGCGCTGGGGTAATGCTCCAAATGAAGGGGAACTGTGTAGCGTGTCAGTTGCCTATTAAACTGTTCTTTTGGTTGCGCTGACACTTAAGGCTCGGTTTTTGTGCTTTGGGCGATGTAGCCTCCAATCCAAGCCAGTAGCCCTCCAGTCCTTCTGTATGTCGGCAATACGTATTCTCCACTAATATTACGATTTCTTTTGACTTCGGGGAGGACTCAGAGCGCCACGGCATAAATGTTAGCTTGTTTTTTAATATTTCACCATGCATTCAGAACAAACCCAATCCAGTTTCAAAAGCGAATTTGACTATCTTGCGCAAATGAGCTTTGAAATCAGCCGCTTGCGATCACGACTGTACGTCGTTCTTGATTTGACTCGATTGTGCCCTCATAGTTCAACACAGTTATAAATCCAATTCAAACGTAAATCCCTCCTGTGTTTTCAGCGATTCCTCCGGCGCCCCCTTTGTTCAATCTCCTTCACCGGCTATGCCATAGTAGTCAGTGCTTTAAATCTGCCCTCGAATCCGGAACGGTGTTGAATCCAAGCCGCTTTCCTCCAAAACCACAGAGGCATCAAGGCCATTCCATCCTATGTAGTGCCCCATCCTATTTGTAGGCGAATGGACCGCCTTCGTACTGCTCAAGACCGGACAATACTTCGCAAAGAGAGCACTTCGCGTACTAAGGATCATTCATAAGAAAGTCGGCCTTGAAACCCGACCCCTCTGATTAAAGATTTTGCAAAGAGCCTTTCGGAGTCTTTTGAGTCTGGTGTCATGTTAGTTATTAATAGACCCCCTGCGGAGTATAAGACTAGGACATTTACTAAAAGTAAACACCATCTCTCTCCAGGGGTCTTTGCAGATTTAGCCATTCGCAGCAGACGTAGCTCCGTTATGTTACGATTCGGTAATCAACCACAGAAATCAAGATCGGCTCTACTCGCTACTGTCACTAATGCAGTGGCCCAACTCCAAATTGAGGTTGCAATAAGCGAGAGTAGTGTAGAAGCACAAACTGCCAACGCAGAGAAGGGCTAGGAGACTACTAGCGAGGTCCGAGGGCCATGCCGTGGAATAGAAGTACAATCTGCGAAGACTGAGGCGTCCGTGCAGTCAAGCAGCCAACTGGACAATAACTGTTCTGAAATCACTCAGTTGACGAGTAAAAAGACTACCGCATTGACTTTTAACCATTGTTCCCTCCATAGGCTCGAGTGACAATGAGCCAGTGAGATCAGCAAAAGGAAACTGCCGTTCACGAAAAACCAACGGCTTCCTTATTGCGGTTGTCACTCCGTACCAACTAGCCAGGACCTATTCCAAACTTTATCATAATCTTTATTCTATGAAAACACACGTGAAAGACAGTAAGAAACTATACAAGTGGGAGTGGATGTAGGATCAAGCCTCAGGCTCTCACAGGGACTCCACCGACCTATAATCAAAAGTGAGAGTAAACATTACGACAACTGCTTGATTGACAAACCAGTACTTTTAAGCCATTAAAATTAAGTAAGGTTCTGCACTCAAACATACAGTAAAGCCCTCCGTGTGGCCCTTGCCACGGCGCAGTTGCGGTGCCAGACGTTGAGTGACCTGGGACAGGCAAGTCGCCAGCTGTGTACAGGTCTCTAGCGGTAATTGTAAATGACCCACAGAAAAGTCTCGACTCCACTCATCGAAGAGGGGATCCGCTACTCTGTAACCCAACACAAATCCCACTCAAAGTGAGCAACTGTCCGATTTTCAATCAGTCCGATTGGCATCATCGGTGGCAACAATAGTCACGAGGATCTCAGCTCAATTCAAGGAATAAAAGTGGCCGAATTGAATGACAAAATGTTTGCTAGCCATATTCTCTCTGGGTAAACCTATAACTCATTGGCACTCTCAAGTCCCTTGAATCGAGTGATAACTATTGCATACAAAGCATTCAATTTTGAAACAAAAGCGAATGTCGTTAAACATATTACGGGATTCAATAGTTTTCTGCAATTAGTTAAGTCGACTTGGATATTTATTAAAGCTTACAAGAGGTGGTAGGACCTAAAGGACATGGTTGAGGTTCAAGCAGTATTTGTGCAACAACTTACACACGCTTCACAGTAAATAAGTCGCTTATGAGGTAAAACGATATCAGATTTGACGTACACCAGATGATTCGTGTTACTCGCAATCCTAACCGGTTCTCGACTCCATATCTCAGATTGAGGGTGGTGAAACTTACTTTAAAGGATCGGTAGGACCGACTGATGTCAGGAGGCGGTAGAGCACTTTCAAAACAGGAGCTCGCTCAGCCACCTCGGCGTGACTCGATGCATCGCTCTTGCAAGGGGAGGCGACCCTTGTCGTGTCAATCGTAGCTGTGTAGAGACAGGAGCGCTGTTCAAACAACCAAATCTATGAGGAAGGAGCACAAGCATCACTCAGTTACGAATCCTATGAGATTTCGGAAGAAATTAGGCATCATTACTTGATAGTGACTAGTCATCATAGGTAAGCATGAGTACTAATAATTTACGGAAAGCTCTTGAGTCAAATCGGAACTTTTACTTCTACGGCTGGCAAAAGGGAAGCTACCATAGGGGTTTTAACCCGAATAACAAATGGGTGAATAGAGTAGACACGTAGTAGACCATTCTAGAAGGGGATTAGTCGGAGATGGCAAGCGACTGCAGCAGTGTATGCATTAATCAGGTTGTGGTGATGAAATTTCTTCAAGTATAGTTCGGAAATGGAAAGTCCAGTCACAATAGGCCACTTGAATTGTGGAAGCGTCTTGAAGACGTCGAACAAATATAATTAACGGATATTTGCAATTTTGAAAAAAGCACATGCCGAGGTAGGTGGCGCCAGCACAAAGTTGAGCAGCGCACTAAGCTGAGGGAACGTTTTAATGGGAAATTCAAATATATCCTAGATCGTACTATTATATGCGACGGAACCTGGATGCACCACTTCATTTCGGAGTGGAGTACAAGGGCGATTGGGAAGTGCGGATTCACCATTGATACCAAGATAAATGGACTGCACCAGGATGATTCGGCCCTACTGATAGATCTTTCTATAACGGAACTGCTTTCTATGCATCAATTAGGCATTGAGAAAGGTGGATAAATGTCGTAGAGAAGCGCATTGGAAAATGGGAAGTAATATGCAAATAATTTTTTACTCTATAAACGGGGAGATTCCGGTCGGGTTTAAACGTTTTAAATATAAAGGAGTTGAAAATCTTGAAGTTTAGCCTTCAAATCAATAAGCAGAAAAGATTAATCCTTATTACCAGCGTAAAATACCACCATTTTCGAACCAAGGGGACGCTAACGCAAACTACATCAGCGTTCCATCCACTTTGTAGAGATAAGCGTAAGTAAATTACCCAGACAAAACAAATAGCTGCGTTCCAGTGTTATCTAAAAGGCACCAGCTAGTAGACGAAAAAGGTAAATTTGATCTCCAGTAACAAAAATGATTAGGATTACAATTAATATTAGCGAATAAACAAGACATCTACCAAACCATACATTCAAAACAGTTAACATTTGTGAGAGATCCCAACGTTGATGAAATTATCTTGCGCACATCGAAAAACTCGACTCAACTGGGCATAAGGTGTGGAAACTGCAAATATTAATTAAAAACGAACTAACCAAAGCAAACTTCATCGGGGTTTCGTACGAGCCAGCCGAAAGAACGAAACGATAGCGTCCATCCTCCAGCATTCGTGAAAAAAGCAATTCAAAAAAGTCCACATCGTGTTGACTAAAGGGAATAAGGTTATAATAATAAACATCGCACATAAGCGGAAGCTCAACATGACGCAGATAATCGCCGTCAATATCGACTTCCTGTGTCCAAACCTTAACATTGGCGGTCCAGAGAACGATCACGGTGTCAGCACCGGAGCCAACTATAAGAGACAAAACATACGAGGCATGAAAGCAAATCCGCCCTCCTACCAAGACGACCGAGCATTACATGGCACCGGGAACAAAAAACACCCTCCAATTTCGATATCAACTTTGTGGATTTATAAATCCATACACCGGAATTAAAAATCATTTCAATCCCATTGGTAAGAATAGAGGAAGGTGGTAGATTAGCAACCAATCTCGAGAGCGCGGTGCCACTGACTTCAGTGGCTGGGTTCTTTTCGTGACAGAAAAATGTGCTCAGTTCGGAGCTGGCCAGGGCATCAACCGACGAGAGGTTATCAACCTTCGTGATGTTTCTTATGTCCGCTATATCCCCATCGCAGAAATTGCAGCGAAGCATTTCACCCTTCACAATGCGCTCGCATACATAGGAGTAACGACGGTCATCGTTCGAATTCGACAAACAGGTTGCATCAAAGGAAACTGACTCGAAACTACCAGAAGAATCAGGGTTAAGTTCGGCAGAGGTTGGCGTAAGGCTCAAATTTTCAAATAATACATCAATTTTTGAGGCGCCTTCAGAAAAGGACAAAATATTCGGCGACACAACTTTGAATGTGCAACTATAAATAAGAATACAAAAGATCTAACCAACTTATGATTTAATTCTCCGTGCAAAGTCAGAGTAATTTTTCGAAGGCCATAGGAATAGTCGCCGTACAAGTTATAAATACCCATGCTAGGCACAGACACACTAGCAGCCTAATGAGCACAAAAGCAGCGCGGCTTCCCGAGAAGCAGGGCTACTGTGCGTGGCCTAGAGCACAAAAAAAACGTTACTAATATCGGAAAACCAAAAAAATAGAGGGTCTATTAGTTGTCAAAAGCTCTAACTCGCTATCAAAGAGGAACGCACCATCCAAAGAGGAATGGCGATAACTTAGTCAAATTTTTTTTTGAAGAAACCTGTGTGTATTAAAGAGCAGTCTTTACATCGAAAAGCATTGATTTGGCCGATTCGTATCTGCGCTGAAGCTTTGTTTTGGCCAAGTCATCTGCAAGAAATGAACTCAACATCAAGCTCGGATTGAACTATATAGAGATTAAAATCGTCAACATGTTTGCACCTTTGTCCCTCCAGAGTCAATTTTGCCACTAACATTTTACTGCGCAAAACAGAATCAAAATCATGTGAAAATAGAACCGGCCAGAGCGGATAGAGCATACTAATCTTCCTCAGGTATTAAGTAATTTTCTGGATTTACAATTGAAGCAGCGTCTTTGCCACGTCGAAAACGCAGCTTAGAGTAAGTGCGGCTTTGCATTTTAGTTTTTATCCTTTATTTTGACGTATCGTGTTTTGCGCGTTAAAAAACTTAGAGGCGGAACAATACGCTTTGATTATATGCTTTTAGCAGCTACGCATCAGATTTAAATATGTTGTAGCAAAAGCTTTGCTCGGCTTTTGTTCCTATAATTTTCTGAATTTGTTAATGTAGACAAATATCAAATATAAACTGAGCAGAGTGGTGTTGTCCTTTGTGGCTCGTGGCGGGCAGTCTGAGTCGGAGTTGTCATTCGACTGCCTAGGATGGGCAATAGTCCGGGTTTCCCGGAGGCTCAGTCTCCCTATCCTGGAGGTCGGCGATTATCTGACAAAGCTGTCCCAAAAAATGATAATTTTGAACTCCGCTGGCATCGGTTCATCGAATCATTGGATGTCACTGATGAAAAAATGAAGCTCATTGAACAGTTGCCTTATCCACGAAAGATGGAATTGGTTTTAAATTATGTAGTGATCTTTTTTTAAATTTACTGATAACAGGAGCTGAATACGGTCAAGTTTTCACCAGCACACTGTGTGGAAAACATTAAAATGGCTCGAATAGCGCAAATTACGGTATGCTGTGTGTAAGTCGTCCATAACTATTTAGGCATCCAAACGCAAACAAGATCATGATGATTTCCAGAAGGTATTCACCTCCACAGAAATATCTTTACGTACAAATAAGATTGAGTACGTTCTCACTTGATTTATTTTGCCATTAAAGATGGGTTTTGGAATTTTTAGAAAACCATGGTCTGGAGGCGATTGTCGCATTTATGGGTGATTCCCTAAAATATCTTTCAAGGTAAAATGTAGCCATTTCTCACTTACCTTCTTAGAACGGATACCTTTCGAAGCACGCAGTTGCATGCGGACACAACTCGTCGCAAGGGTTCGATGCCCGTGGAGGAATTTGCGCCCTCATCGCTGGCTCGCCGGGATCCTTCCAGTCCAGCAAAATCAAAAAACGCTCGTGGCCCCAGTGACAAACCTCCTCCTACTCCAAACTTCTCCCTGAGTCGAAATAAATCCGCCTCGCCTACTTTAAAAAGTCAAAACATGCCACTGTCTACCTCGTTGACTCTCGAAACCCTGAAAGACTGTCTTCATTTGTGTCTGAAATGCTTCAAAACGCTGCTGAATAACCAAGTCAGCAAATACGTTTTCTCATTTCTTGTTTTTACTTGTTCCTTAATTATGGTTCTTCACTCGTTTAGGACGGGTGTACGAAAGCTTTTGAAAACCCTGAAGTAATCGAAATAATCACATTTTGCATTTTGCATCCAAATTACGCGTAAGTAATCTCACATCATCCAGTTACACGCCCTTTGAAAGAAAACTTACTTCTCTATCTCTGATGCGTTTAGGACGAAGGCATTGGCACTTGATTTGCTTTCAGCGATTTGTCTTATTGGAGGAGGTCATCCTAGAGTTCTGAAAGCATTCGACCACTTTCGTCGTACAATCGGTGAAAATGCGTGCTTTGAAACTGTGATGAATGATTTTCGGGTTCATGAGGACCTTCCACTGGATCAGTACAATCTGGAATACTCGGTTAGTTCAAATAGCTTTATCTAATTTTTACTTGGAACGACTGCGTCACTAGTTCACGTATTCCTTTCTTGCTTCAAGGTGGCCTGCATTCAATTTATCAACATTGTGGTTCATTCTCCTGAGAATATAAACCTTCGAGTGTATCTGCAGTACGCTTTTACTCTGCTTGGCCTCGATGACTTCTTACGGGTTAGTTGATCCCCATTTCAACAACCGCTTCCTACATTGTCTTTCATTATGGGCATTTTCGGACGCTATTTCCATTTCGTTGCATTTATTAGTCTTTGTTAATTATCTGGTATTACCCAACTATCATGCCACTTACGTTATTAAGCCAGTGCTTGCAAGGTGTTAACTAGTACTAGGAAAGAGGGGATTGATATTTCTTTCAATAGATGTTATTGTGACGAAGTAGGGGTCACTTTCAGGCTAATAAAGTAGTTAGCTTAACTTCTCAACTAGGATTTGTAGCCTGACTTCTATACCCGCTTCCATCTTCTGAGTTTAACTCGACCATTTCAATATCATTTCGTTGTAATAGCCATTAATTTAATCATTGGATAACCTATGTATGACTTTTTTGTCAGGCTTTCCTATGGCTTTCCCAACCGCCTTGTACCAATCTTGATTGGTTCATATTTTTGGGCTGCTCCTGTTGCGCTTGATATAGCTACGTCTTGGCACTTGCCGCTCTAGGGTTCATATTGTCTACAAATAAATAAAAGATATTAGGCAATAAATGTAGCTAGTTGATTGCTGGATCTTTAGCTATCGTGACTTCTCACTCATTCACCCCAGAGAAAAGGCCTGTTATTTACTTCACTCTCCCCAACGTTTCTGCGTGCTACCCATACAGGCCCTGCAAGCACGACCCGGAGACAAGTTGAATCGGCATGTAGAGGCCTACGTGAACAATATGGTCAACTGCTCCCTCCTGTTGGACGACGCGGAGGCCAAGGAGGCAGCTGTCGAAGAGGTCTCTCGTCTTGAGGCCGCTCTGGAGGCCTCCGAGAGCACAGCCAAACAACAAGCCGCCTCGTTTAAAGTGAGATGGTTTAATACCTAATCCCCCCTCTTTAAGCTGGAAACAACCTCAAGGTTTTTGAAAAAGAAAACATTTCTCTACATATTGTAGTGCTTGAAGAGTAGCTTTCGCTACCACAAGCATTGTAATTTTCGGCAGTGTCATTTATTGATATTTCTGTTGTTTTCACAGCCTGAAGAAATGTAGCTTTTCGTTTAAAGAGAACATTTTAGGTGATTATGTAGATGATAAAGAAGCGGCGTGGCAGTCCCTGTCAGCTATCAGCTTAAACTACACGCACATAAAATGACCAATTGACACTGCCAGTTATCCCTATCCCATTTTTAGAATATCCTCGTAAAACAAATACTTGCAGCTCTCAAAAGTGTTTCTCAAACATGGCACTGCCATACCCTGCCAAGTTTTCGACATAAATAACTTTTATTACTTGAATACACCAACAAACAAGTTATAGAGTATTAGCCTTGTTTCAGTTAGGAAAATTTTCACCTGATCAGCTTTAGAGTAAGTCATAGATTTGTTGGCTCAGGCTTAACGCTTTTCTACTTCCGGTACGCTAGCTCTATATCAGCAGTTCTTTGACTGTGGATGTAGTAGTATTTCTGCTGCTTTGTATGCATTTTCGAAAAATGTTAGACTTTTGCCGTTTAATAGCTTTTAAGTATATGTTTTTAAGCTTGTAGTTCAGGCGTCTGAATTACAAATAAGCACTACTATAGATCGTAATAGATTGTTATTGTTGCAAGTTCGTACACCACCTTCTCTGTTATGGAATTAATTGAAAATGGTGTTAGGACTCAAATGTGTTTAAGTTATGGATCTAATTTCCTTTGAAATTGGCCTTTGCTAACTTGATGGGGGATATTACATGATCATGTGGCTTGATATTCCTAGAATATATGCTGAAAGGATGATCGAACCGACTTGAGATCATTTACCATGCTAGTTTACAAAGAATATATTTTTGGATGAGTCGTGAGGTGATTGAATGTGGTAATCTGCTACGATTTCCCGATTTTGATTTCCCTAATTTTTTACTGCTTATGTACACCAATGTAGATGGCCTTGTTTGATAACTTTAGTGAGGGTGTTTTTGTATTCTCTTTCAGCAAAGAGATATAGCTCTCTCGGAGTTGGTCGAATCACTTCGCGGAAAGATCCGCGACATCAACGTGGCGGCAGGACAGCAGGAGGCGGCAAACAAGCGTATCACGGAGCTCGAACAGTCTCTGGCCGCGGCACACCGTCAAATCCAGCGCCTACAGGATGCCGCTGCCGCCATTAACACTACAGCGGTTGAAACAGAGACCAATAGCCTGGGTCAAGTTAGACCAGCGCCGAACCCGAGGCAGAAGAAGCCCTCGGTGTGCAACATGACCACATCCACGACTCTGCCTATGGGTTTCGAGTTTGCTGCCACCGTGGAGAGTCAACAGGCGGCGGCAGCCACGGCGAGGCTAAATGCCTCTCCACCCACGGTGGAGTCACGCCGCAAATCTATGTCCCTCGAGATGCTCTCCACCACGAATCGGTCCACAATGGACAGTGGGAGTGACACTCCCTCCACCTTCCCCCTCTCCTCTGGCGCCGCCTCATCTCGTCATTCATCCTCTTCCTCTGAAGTCAACTACGATACCTTCTCGCGGAAATCGGGGTCGATTGCAGAGAAACCACGGCACGGCCTTATCTCTTGCACTCTTATCTCGCAAGGTGGGCTAAAGATCTTCACATTTGTCAGTTTTTTTCTGCTTGACTGATTAAGTCACGGCAAAAGCGTACTTGGGTTAAAGTGTAGCATAAAGCACATACTTTTATCACCTATTTAGCAATTTCTGTTTTATCGCGAATGATATTGCTGAGACTGTCGAATATGAATTATTCACTGTACTTTCTGATTAAACGGTGACCACAGGTTCATTTAGCTTAGGAATTAAGCCTGACTATTGCACGAGGTAAATTTTGTGCAGTAATGTTTTGTAGGGGTTAGGGCGTTGCTAAGCAGAGCTCCAGGAAGTGTCCAATCCAGCTACTAGGTTATTTTATTTGTACTGCTTCATTACTGACACTGGCGACGTTAATATTCCTGTATTTTTTTACGTCGCGAGAATTTCCTTAACTTGTTCAGATTTTAGTGGGCATTTATAGTGTTACGGTTGCTTTCCTTAAAGGACAGTTTTTCATATTTACGTCAATCATTTGATTGTTTAAGCTATTTTTTCCAAGATGGAGAATGCCATGATGATAATGGAACGTGTCTACGCGGTAGTTTGGTAATGCAAATAGGAGGGCACCTACACACTTCTGCTCTGAACTGTTTATTTTACGGAATCAGTTGTGAAGCTTTGTCACGTTAGCTCTTGTTGTGTTTTCTTGTCCTCATGGTTCCTGGCCCCTGTAAGCAGCTTTCACACGTTTACTTTTTATTTTTGGTAACTTCTGTGGTAATTACTGACTAGAAAAGCTATTATCCGTGGTTCTGTTGTTGAATTACGAGAATTTCATAGCGCAGATTTGGTGCTAATCTTATGTTTTTGGTATCATTGTGCAGTTTTGTAATAAATACACGTCACATTTTTTTTTGTGATTCAGTTAAAATTTCACGAAACTTTGAGTTTACCCCTCAGACTAATTCCATAATTTATAAGCATACGCTATTGGGTGTCATAAGCACTTTTCAGCTTGTAGATGATCCGTTCGTACCTTTGTGATTGCAAACTAATTCTTTCCGACTCAGCTTACCCAACTTTCACCCATAAAATATTCGATGGCCTCTCTTCGGCACCTCAATTCTCATATTCACTTGTGATAAAGGTCTTTTCAATTGCTCTTGTACAGAAAGTACAGAAATGCTTTCGTCGGTCGTGTGTGGTGATCCGATGATTTATACTTCTTGGGTATGTTTAATTTTCAATCGGTGGCCTTTAAGCAATTTTCACCTTACGGGCTCTGCCAGTTTTCAACACCACCTGTCTCTGACTGGTGAACTTTTGTCGAATGCCACAGCTCCTTGATATTGGGACCTATTTTTTTAAATTTACTCGTCGGCGTGCTCCCCGGTGGGTTTTTTTTTCATAGCGCGTCAGCATACTTCCGACTCGATGGTTCTGACAGGTTAACTCTACTTTTTGCTTTTAAAAGACATCATCTGCGAAACTGAGATGTTAAGAGCTTCGTAACAGAGCATCTATTTTGCCTGCCTTTGCCACTATTGAACGTCTTCTATAACTGGTAAAATACATAACTTGGGCCCTCATTCTCTCTGTATGAACGCCTTTCATGATGGTTGTATTACATGAGAAAATAATACCTTTGCTACACTGAGCTATGCCTAATTACGACCATTTCTAGTTATCGCCATTGGCTTAACTCCCCTTCCGTTCTCATTTGTTAGTGTCGGACATGGCGTTGGCGCGCAAGACTTTTGCCAACCTCTCCACGAATCTCAGCGTGTTAATCTCTCGATTGGCCAGCACTTCGTGTCCCACGCCCCCATGTCCCGCACCTGCGGTGCCTCTGCCGCGTTGGCACGCCTCTTCCTCCACCACCGGTGCTGCTGCACCGCGCCTCCGGTACGTCTTCGGCTGCGGCGGTGCTGCTACATCCGCCTCTGCACAGCGGTGCCATCAGCTGGCTACGGTGCTGCCTGATCCCTGGGCCACCTGCTTCGCTTCTGCGCATCGCGCCTTCAGACTCTGCACCGGAACTGGTGAAGTGGAAGAGGCAGAGAAGGAGGAGGATGCTGAAGGGCAGGTTGAACAAGTAGAAGGAGCTGATAATACGGCTGTGAGGTGAGGCCCTTTTCTGGTGTCTTATGTTACAAATATCCCTAATTGCCGCGTTTTCTTACGGTTAAACTATTAGAGGATGTTTTCCAAAAGATCATGGTAGCCATTACTTGCTTAGTGACTCTCATGTCTCTAGTCACCCCTACATTTATTTATCTTGGGTGATTTTAATTAGACAGCTATTTCACTTATCTACTCCATCTCTGTACCTGGAGGCATGAGGTCTACCTAATGAATCCTACTTTGTCATTTTCATCCAATGAATTTTTCAATTAGTTTTTAACTGGTTATTCGTTATACTGATTGATTTGGATATGTCGGCGTTGCTTTTATTGCCCTAGAAACTCCATCATCTAGTTTTTTTCTTCAGTACGTGCATAGTTTTACTGCTATTCGATTCACGTAGTGTTGACGGATAATAGGTGACACCTGTTTTATGGCAGGTTTGCCGTGATTCATACCTCCCTGTGAGTTCTGCGTTACATCTCCTTCTGCGATTTATGTTCCAAATCGTCCCCCTTTTGAAGTTGTATGATGTCCAAATCTGTAGTAGAACCCACGAATTTGTTTCAGTGATCACTAATTCATGCAAATTCACACTTTAAAACGCATCAATGACAGCACAAATTCGGAATTATTTTCCCTGACATTTTTTTGTTCTCGTCAAGGTCCTCAGCTTTTTTTAATTTTTGCTTCATATTTGTTGAGTTCACATCGAAATAGAAAGATATTTACAATAACGCTGTGAGGCACGGAGCTTGTCTCGCTACGGGCCTGATCCATTTAACGCCCTTATATTTGCTTATTTTTTTTTGACTTCGGTGAACTCCGTAGGCTAGTCCCCTACATTGGTGCATTGGAGATTTCATTAAAATACCTTTTAAAGACATCGGCGATGAGAATACGCCATTTTAAACTCATCTATCGTAACGTCAAGGTTTTGAGTTGGACGGATATTCTCTTCCCCGACACATGAATGGGAACAATTATTCTGTTCTTATGTTGTAGGATAATGGAATTCTCAGTTGTTAAACCTTTCACCTTTTGGTTAGAACGATTCTAATGGCTGTGGTTCTCATATTTCTTTCCCAACCTTTGGTTTTGGGGCACTGACAGCGAAAAGCAACTTCCCGACATTAAGTGCTAATTGCTTGCATTCCTTTTGTTCCATCTCTCCGAATCTTTTCCCCTTTTCGTGTGATATTATTTTCATAACATAATAGGTGCACCACACGGCAGATAATTATTGTTTGCTAAAACTTGAAGTCGAACCCTTAAAGTGGTTCTTTTTTGCCACAATTAACTACGGCTTGTAGTGTAACCCTACCTTAACTGCTTAAATTGAGTTTCTTCTTTAGGTTTTTCTAATCAAAGCCTTTAATTAAGCATGGTATTATTCGTTTGCCTTAATTTAGAAGCGACTTTTTTTCGGAAAAAATCATCCTCGTTACCTTTGCTTAGTGCAAATGGACGTACGCGTTACCTTCCTGCGGTAATGAGAGATGTGGGGCTACTGTAATGAACGCAAAACTAGCAATTTTTTTTGTAAATCAGTCTAAAAAGTATCCAAATCATCTAATTGTGTCTGGAGAAGTTACGAATCGGCCTTAGAAGCTCATCCAATACTTTTGTCTTTTCCTTTGTTGTCTCCTCGACTACTTTTTCATTAATCAACAGTAATAGGCAATGGGTCCAGGCTTCGCTTTCACTGCTTTGAAGGTTATTTTTGATCTCATACTAACCCTGATCTCTGTTTTACAAAAAGTAATTTTATCCTTTGCCTCTTAAGGGGCCAAAGCATTGATGAAGCACACACTATTTCTTCCTGCAAAATTTCGAATCATAGGATTACGTTGCCCGGAGAAAAGAATAACATCTTTCGGAACCCACAGAGAAGCATCAACATGGGCGCTCCAGTTTGAAGTTCCCAGGCCTTGTCACTGCTTGATCAAAGCTTTCCTTTCGGTTTTCACTCTTTTGCTGCCAAGTATTACAGTTGGAAGTTCACTTCCACAGTTCCATTTTGGAGCTACCGAGCGCGAATACTAGACGTCTTGTGTCTTTTGGAGTGGCATTTTCTGACCGTAGTAAACATGACCAGGCAAACGACAACCGCTACCAGCATTGGCCTATTTTTATCGCTTTAAGCCCTCTTCCACCCTTTTTCATCTCATCCAGACCCTTTTGTCACATTGTCGGCCGCTGGGCTGATTACGAAGTTTCACCCCGTCTTTCCAAAACTAATCAGTCTCATTAACACTTTGTTGACTGGGAGAATGTGTTCTTAGCTCTCAAAACTTTTGCTTTGATGTGAATTTATTGCATATTTTGCCAACATCTTCAGCATCACAGGGAAAATTAGCTGTCTTTCTAATCACTTTGCGGGGCACTTTTAGCCATCTGTTGTTCGGAGGCAATTGTGGCCTTAATTGCAGAGCCGTGGACTAGTCATATCCTGCATTGTTGGATCATGTATAAACTCTCGCACGGTTACACTTTTCGATGGGCCGTTGTGTCATACTCCTCCCCTCGTGTATGCATGTGCGCCTTTGTGTTTTCAGTGCCCGCCGGTAGCCGATTCTCGTCTTAGCTGTATTATTTATTCTCCGTTGGCCAGTAAATGTTTTGTGCCACTTGTAATTGAGTTGGTGCTTTATCAACGATGGATTGTTATATAGGAAGCTGGGTCATGTTAGCTTCCCAGCACACTTGCTGTGTACTCCTCAGGGCGAGTTACACCCATGACTCACTAGGGGCGAAACTGAGAGAACAGACTCTTGCTGCCTGATCGCTTTTGGCAGTCGTTGTAGTCGTCATTCGCACCCAGTCACGAAAGCATAAAAATGCTTTTGTATGGAACTTCACGCACAGGGATTGAGGAAGACTTAGTCCTCTCGCTTTACTGTTTGTTTTAAGTGTTAAAGCTTACGTGATCCATTGAAAATATCCCTTCTGTCAGGACTCGTCTTTTTCCAAGAGCTCTTCTCGTCCTGTTGAAAATAAGTTAGGTGTGTTTGGCGTATGTTTATGATAAGGTGCTGAAGTCTCCTTCCTTCCCATTGAACCCAAAGATAACTCCGTTTTCCGTGGAATTAAGTGGCAAAATAATTGCAGTTCTTGAGCACCACTTTATGCAAGAATGAAGGGTGGCTACTGAGACCATTGTAATTATCGCACTTTAAGGTAAAACACTGCTGTGCTGGCACGAGATGCAGGCGGTCACTTTATTTTGGAAGTGTAGATGTCACTGCAGCTTCTTGTTATTTGTGAAAAGGATGTGATTAACACCTTCACTATCAGCGTTACATGCATATGTGGCGATTTTTTAGCTGTTTACGGCAACTCTTTTACCAGGTAGATTGTTCATTGTCCATGAAAAATTAAATGCTATTAGAAAGGAAATTGAAGACCGGTTGAGTTGGCCACTTTGATGGTAGTTAATTTTCTTCTGATAAATAACGCTCTTTCCCCCAGTCGTCATACTCTGTCTAATGGTAGCTAGATTTCTCTCTGCTTTATGGTTGCATGTTGCTCTACCGCCACAAAATATGGCCGATTACATTGTTTCTTACCTGAGTAACGCTTTATACTGGATTCCCGGCTCTTGGGGCTTTTCCTCCAGCCATCCTTTCATGTGGTTAATCCAAACTACGAATAGTCGATTGATACCCACATACTATTCCACCGTCATGAAATATTGGCAGTAATGTTTACCACCGGCATGCTCGTTCATCACTGCAATAGCCTGGCGGAGGAATAGTTGGATTCATGTGTTTTACTGCTGTCTATGTGAGTTTGCTTTGAAGCTCGCAGTGACCTTTTGCACTACCTACTACCGATTCCCTATCCCCTCCTCGCGAGTGCCAGAAAAATAGCGTTTCGTGCGTCGTCTGTTCTCTCTTCTCCTAGCTAGGCTCTTGGGTTGGAAAATTTATGACGGCTCAGCGCGTGTGGGTGTTCATCGGCGAACGTATACAGTGTGCCCGCACATGCGTGGTGGCAGGGCGAGGGGATGGGATAGAGATGGAGGGTGGCCACCCATATTAGTCATTCGGGTTGACTAATTCCCTCATCAAGTGCCCTTTTACAGCCTCCTCAACTCGTTTTGCTTGGCTGCGATTTTAGAAGAGTAAATAGGATCGGGCGGGACAGGTAGTTGGCACCGGCTTTGGGCAGTTCCCAGTGACTTCTGGCTGTCTTTTTGTGACTTCTATATAACACGCTGTTTGGAATTGCAGTCCTTCTGCTGATTTAAACTTCGCCTGACTCCAAAATATATTTATTCAAAGCAGTAGTTAAAGTTCATTAAGCCCACAAAATCCAATGCTGATATGACTGCAGTCTCACCGTTCGTAGATCAGAAGTTGGGAATCTACCGATTTTATTATAGATCGGATATGCCATTTGGAAGGAATTACTTTTCGGGTTTTGGTTGTGTGTGTAATCATTGCATTAGCTCTGCGAGTCCGCGTCTACTGACCTGAGAGGTGCTTCCTCTCTAATTATCTCCGCTGATTCAACTTGAAAAATACTTCATTCGTAGAATAATTTTACATCTGACGTGCGTATAGCTGATAAATGCTGGCTCTGCTACCTTTTTCAAGTTTGAAGGCAAATCAGAGACGACAAAAAATTTTAATTTTCTAGCAATGATATCTTGAACTGCTTTTTGATAATTACCTCATGACAAGATTGGAGGTCAGTAGGGTCAAATTTTATAAAATGCAGTTCAAGCAATTTTCAACCCCATCCCAGGACGTTTTCCTTCAGGTCAAAATGCAGAATCCTTATGTTGGGTTGCTTGGTGTATTCGTTCTTTGCGAGTTAGTTTTCGGGTAGGTCGATTCTAGTTACGTACTTTATGCCTTCTATCAACCACGCAGGTTCGTTTATTATGTGAAACCATTTCCTAAACCTAGCCGTGTACAAAAATTTTTTTCTCTCGTAGCGTGTTCATTTTTTCCTCCATTAATTTATGCTTGTTGATACTTTATTCTTAATAATGGGTTTAAGCTTGGTTTGACATGGTAGGATCTGATTCCAATCATTCTCACCCGCCTTTTGAGCGTTCCTTTAAAACATTGTTTAGCTGCCTCACCTTTTTGATTCTGCGATCATATACTGTGAGTGACGGGTCAGTTCGGTTTGTAACTCTGCTACGCAGCTCAGAACCAATGTTGCAATATGGTGGGGTAAACTTCCCTAAACCAACACTGGTTAGAAGTGTATTGTGTTTGTGAAATTGACTACATCACAATTGGTTTTCTTGTTAACCTAAAAACAGTGACCATAATGCGAACGGGTTCTACTCAGTATTGTTGTAACCTATAAGCGGTTCCGAGGAGGTGGTCTTGTTTACAAAGCACAGCGTTTGGATCTTTTGAATAAATCGCATCGACAAGGGAATTTGTGGCGATTTTCGCAAGCATAGTGTTCCAAATCCCAATTTATTGCTGTTATTTAATGCGTGTTAATTATCCGTTAGCATGGTGTCTAATCGTCTGAAGCATGCAAAATAATATGTTCAGTTCTGCTAACTAGAAGTTTTATACAGCGTTACTTTTTCATTGTTAAAAACCAATGTTTGTTCCCGGGTTTCATCGGAACGAGATAGTCGATGGAACACGTAAACTACGGTCATGCGTGAGCAGACTTTTGGACTGTAGAGTTTCCATACACGGCTTCTAAGCACTTATTAAGTGTTCCTTTTACTTGTATCTCAGTATTAGATGCAAGTAATTTTCGCCTTGATGAATTTTTTGTGTATTTCTTAAATTAACTTCATTTGGATGCGTCGCTTGCTCATCGAAACATCCTCTCCAAGTGGAAATGTTAATAGTTTCGTCAAGCTAGGAGCAATAGGTATAAAGTGGTCGTGTTTTGCTTCCATGGCTCGTTCTATCATAAAGAATGCCTTGGTCCACGCTACTTGGGATTTAGTTTTTTTTTTTTTTGGAAAATTGATGATTACCCTTTAATTGACCCTCATATTGGTTCATGAGTAACCCCTCGGCCCCCTTTTTAGGGTATGGTTTTTATCACTACTACCTCATTACCGTTCATTAAGAATATTTGATAAAATGCCCAATAGTGTTGCTATAAAGTGTTGTGTACTTTTGCAAGCGCTCACCCTGCCAAGTCCCTAGCCGGAATAATAAAAGAGAAAGCGATCTTTCCTTCCAACAGGTTTAAGCAAACTAGGAGTGTGAACACCAACTAACAGTGTAACGGAGTGCTGACTAGAGCACACGAGTGGTCATCATTCTAACTGATTCGCTATCAATTATGATTGTTAGTCCTCTGGACTACGAAACAGGATGTTCATTTTTTTTATTGTTAAGCTTCACTAACTATCCTGTTTTGAGCATATTTAAAATCATTGGGGAATTCGCTATTTCGTTGCTGATAACGGAAGTTAGTACACTCCTCTAAGATAATCCGGATTATTAATCCAATATTTCCTAGTTTACTGACCAATTTCCACTAAAAAAACAATGCTTGCTGATTACTCAGCGGCATAATTGTTGACCAACAGGATTACACAAAACCAAGTTTGCGTTTTTTCAGAGAAGGATAATCTCTCTTTTGTGGTGGGTTAGTGGGGTACTGAAACTAAGAGTGTATGCACTTCCTGCTTCCAGGCTTCTCCAATGGTTAGTCAGCACCCGTCTTGTAACAAAAGACGCAATAAGGTTGGAAGCTCCCATGGCAATGACAACGGCGGAGGATGAAGCGGACCAGCGTGAGACCGTCGAGGCTACCGCAGTGTTACCGCTCGTCACCGCTCTTCTCTCTGTCAGTCTAAACCCCTTCGTGGCCACTCGCCTCCTCTCTCTCCTTGAAGCTGCCACTGCTGTCTTTTGCGATGGTAACGGAGGTAGTGGGTGGTGGAGCGGGTCGGAAGCTCTTCCACGCCTTTTTGACGCGGCGGAGGCGCACCTTCGTGTGCGACTGGTGAATCGAGACCTCGCCAACAGCCCCGTTTATCAATCCACCGCTTCGGCCGACTGGCCTCTGTTGCAGGCATTATTACAAGTCAACCTGCTGCCTTTTGTGCTTACTGCAAACCTGCAGCTGCTTATTGAGGTAAGAATGGCCCACCTTTAGTCCCAATATTGATGTGGATTTTCTTTGACCCTTAACCACTTACCTACCTGTTCGCATACTGTGTGCGAATTCAGTATGTCAAGCTTTACAGCAATGCGATATCAAGCTGTAATCGGTCTAATTGTGTAAAATTTTAAATAACTGCATTTTCTGCTGATATTGTTGGTGATTTTAATGTGCTAAATGATCTTTCTGCATAATTTAAGGCGGGAATTTTTAAAGTTGTATCACCAGTAGCTTATAAAGCTGAGAAGCCCCTCCACCACCCAATGTCCTCTCCACGAATTCCATAAATTAACTTTATTTTCAGCTACAGGAATGAAATATAACTCGATCAACTTAGTTGGATCCAGAAAGTCTTCCAATGCTCCCTGATTGGGTAGCGAGTGAAACCACTTTCGCCACCTAGTTGTTGTGCCCGATTCTTCACTGAATCCAATTTCGTGGTGCATTTTACTTGTGTACTTGGGATTTGATGCAATAGGCTTAGCTGTGCGAGGAGCGATATTGCTTTTTAATCGTATATGAATTACCTAGACCAGGAATCTGTTGAGAAGTTGGTCCTTAGTATAAACAATCCAAAAAGTCGTCAACTGTGGCACTGGACATTCTGCCTCACGAAATGGTGCAGTCGCAGAAATAATGATCCCTTAGCCTTCAAATTACTCCTGAAGGAAGTAACCTTATTACCAGATAAAGCTTCTGCACCTATCGTTTCTATCATATTAAATCTGGCAGTTAGGACGATATGGGCAACGGCTCCGCTTCATACTTTGTGCGAGACTGAAAAGGTTAGCCTGGCAAAACACAGATTAATCACCTTTCCGCCAAGCTAAAAAGGAATTAAAATTGTTTTTACTCAGTGGCTGCTGATTGGTGGTGAAATTCTTGGAAAACAGCACTGGACCAAAAGGTGCCATAAAAAGGTGTTACATCTGTGCCGACTTTGAGTTCACTATTTCTTGGTCGCTAAGTGTTAGTTGTACTAATGAAAAAAATTATCAAGTTATAATCTTGCAGCCTAGTTGTCTTCATGTCTAAATCTACACAAATGGTGCAACACACCAGAAGACTTGTTTATAAAGCACACTTGTTTAGATATTTTCCCTTAGAGAGGGCTACCTCTGTCCTACTCCGTGGCAAACTTGACTTCAAAATCTCTCATTTACAAACCTTAACTCTTGACATTTGAGCTATGTTAAGGAATGTAAGGTATGTGGTTCTAGAAGATTGTGTTCTTTGTAATGAACCATTCTATTCCAATGAAATTAGTTGGCGATATAAACTAGATTTATGATCGTAGTAAATGTCATGAAGTTTCCCAAATGTCGAAATGCATCGGTAGAGGGCTTAAAGCCTCTTTACCTTGTGTGGATACGTTGGTGGAAGATGATCATTATGTATGGGTGTATAAGAAATTTTGACGTATTGATTAAGCTAACGAGTAACGTAAGTGATACCAAACGCAATGTTGGGAAATGTATTGGGTTCTTTTTTTGAAAAAATTGAAGTCTGTGAAATGTCTCTTCCTTCGAGTGTGTGATCAGTTAGCTCGCTTCTTTGATCTATCTCAAAAAAAACATGTTTTTGATGGCTTCACTTCACGACTGAGTCGTGAGAAGTGATCCAAGTCCGGCTATAGATCTTCTCGCGCCGCTTCTTTTACATTCGTGATGTGTATCCTCTTTTAAAGTGTTGCCATATGTAGCCAGGACTCGTGTACATGCGCATGTGCACAGGTGTATACGCGATTTCGTGCGTTATTTTTGCATGCAAAGTAGATAAAGGGAAGATGGAATAAATGCAGTGTGCGTGGAATCAGGGGTTCCCATTTCCACTTCTGAGATGCACAAGCGGAGACCGGAATAAGGGAGTGTGTGTTTGCATCAAATGTTTTTCTCAATTCCCATCCATTTTTCGACAAGCGTTTAGCGCTTTTGTTATTCTAGCAACAAAGACGTTTTGAAAATTAGTTTTTATCACATTCTAATGATTTGGATTCTTTATTCCTAGGAAGTTCATATTCATTTTCGTCGCCAGTTGAATGGATACTTTCCTGCATCTAGTTGAGTGAATGTCGCCCGAATTCTGTTCGATGATTTCAACTAATTTTGGAACTCCTTAGAGATCTCTGTCTTAAGGGTGTTTTCCTTTCGTTCAATGACTCATTTCCTTTTGCAAACCAGTTTTTCTATGGAGCACTATCATTTATACATGTTAAGTGTACGTTTTCTGGGGAATCAGTTGTTTGATGCCAGTAATATGCCTTAAATAAATTATACTTGCCTTTCCCAGCACTTTTTACTGACAGTTTATGGATCGTAAACACATGCACACACATATACACATTGTACTCCCATTCTGTGCCTAAATTTGCTTCAGTTTAAAAATTATTGTAAACCATGCTATTCGTGAGGGGGTCCATCATCACGTACAGAGTCTGGGGACCTGGTAAAATAGGTGACTCAAACCTATCACCGTGCTACCAACACCCCAGGCAATTTGTCGGGAACCAGAAATGTTCGTATGCTTAAATTTATAATTATAAACAAATGTGCGCTACACTACTAATGATATTTTTGATAGTGAGCCACACATCTGCATCCTGTTCAAACGAGCACAACGTGCGTAAGGAGTAAAAATGCAAAACTGGGAAGACCTTGAAGCTCCCTACCACTAGGGTCATTCTTTTTATGGCTACGGGGAGATGAAAATTGTGTTAGCTCGTCATCACCAATGGGAATTAGGACTTTCCCAATTATCATGCGTAAACACCAAACCGGTAGGATACGCCTCTCCCAAGAGTGGCAATTGGGAAACACCATTTTGGCATATTTGTCTGCATGTAGACACACAGACCGGTTCCTATCCTTAGAAAGACTCAATTTTTTTAATGAGAATTCTCAGGTGCCCCAGCATTTGCGTTCTCATGGTTGAGTAGTTTCACACTGTATACCCTTTGACGACTCCCCTTTTAGCAACTCTCGACACTGTCTGCTTGCTGCAACTCAATAGTCGTCAACACCAAGCTGCCGACAGTACTTCGTATTGCCGAGAGTCTGGCCGCCACTTTCTTGGGAAAACCCGATTTCCTCATCTTGGAGGGCTGTGATTTCTCTTCTGTGAGTTTTCTTCAGCATTTAAACTCCTTATTTGCTGACCTGTCATTATTATTCTTCTTGATATAAAGCGGTAAGTGGTATGCTTCTGGTCCGACCTCTGGAATAATATGTAAGGCGGGATTTGTTGAGAAGGCGAATGTGCCGAAGAAAGCCGCTCGTGTTTTCATTACTTGTGTTGGTTTCATCGCTTTTACGAAATCCCATTCAGCCACAAATACTGGCTGTGCTGCTTTTTTTCTGTCGCTTGACACCTTACTATATTTAACTTCATCCAGCACGGTGTTTCTGCTGGCATAACCATTTTAAGCGATATTCTAGCACACATTCAATAACTTCATGTTAATGTATTTCAATATTTCAGTTGGATTTCTCCCATTTATTGTCGATCGCAAAAAATGTACTGAAGTCTAAGTGCGTACTTCGCACAAAATTGGGACGACGCATCGTGGCTCGACTTGCTCATTCCTTTCGCCCTTTCAGCTTGCGGACTGGTGGTTACTGATGCGTCGCAAGTCGATCGACGTGGATGTTTTTGCTGACAGCACAAGCAGGGACAGTCCTTGTGTTCCTCGACGCGGTTCCGAGGGTGTCCTGCCTACCTCGGCAACAACCCACCGTCGCAAACCCTTCATGGAGGCCCTCTACAAGGCTGTTGAACTTGTTGCTCCTGAGGCCCTTGACTGGACTCACGATATTGTTCATTTGGATGCTGCCTCTAGGGGTAATTCGGTTTGAAACTATCAGCTCCATTACTTCGCAGATGTGTGCGTGTATGGTGTGGAAAAGCTGAAGGTCGGAGGTGTAGGTGGTAGACCAAAATTGTTCAGAAAAATAATGACGCACTTCATGGTTTTTTTTTTGGATTGGAACGGCTCGATCAGATTCATGTATGTTCTCCGGGTGGGAGGGAATGGTTTGCGCAAGGTCAAAATATAATTGAAACGTCGTCATGGGCGACCCTCCTTAGGCATGAAGTTTCTTTGCGCATCATAGCAATAGTGGGAAGCATTGAGGTCATTCACGCAACAATAACGAGTATGAGTTGCTAAGTTTGTGTCAAGTCAGAGTACAACCTTCAATGTTAGTGGTGTATCGAGTACATATTGGCTACTTTCGTCTATCGCTTCCTTTGCTTGACAAATTACTTCGGCAGAATCCGCTTTAAATTTAGTAACTACTTGCAAGTCATGAAAAGAGAAGCTATGGAAGCAAATGTTTTGTGAAATCAGTGCTTCACATCCTTTATTGGGGAAGTTCTATATCATTACATGAGCTAGAGGTCAGACGAGGTCAGTCTATAGCTGCATTTGTCTGGAATCACGAGCCACAGGGAAGCTTCTGCGTGCTTTAGTCCTCCAGACATCTTTTCGTTCCATCAGCTCGTCCTTTTATTGCTGTCTAGTGTTCTGCATTCATCTTTCTCCTTTTTGCTGCGTGAGGACGTATTGAATCCTCAGACTTCGTCCATCGTTCACTAGACTGACCCTTTTTCCAGATTTTCCCGTCTCTGTTCTATCTCGGCTATTGGCGCAACTTAAAATGAGTAGTCGGTGCGATTTCAATCCACCCATTCCTTTTAATGTGTCACGCCATTTCTCTTTTGGCGACACTTGCTTAAATGGCTAGTGGGGGTATGTGGAATATCATACAGCCACTTGTCTGCAAAGTCGAAAAGTTCTGCGTAGGAGGTGAACGGCATCGAGTCAACCCCATCCATGTAACTCAAATTTTGTTATTTGGGAATTAAAGTGGTTGAAAGCTCACTCAGCATAAGCCAAGACAACATGCTGTCTCCTTTATGTTGTAATGACCGGACGACACCACGGCGGTTGCGTGAACTCATTCAATCAGTGTCAGCTAATTTTTGTAATCACTGAAAGCGTTGTGTCGCCTCTGTGTGAGGTGGACAGCCATGGTACTAGTTGGCAACCTCTTCCTTTGTCTTGCGCCCCTGTCCAAAATTGAGTGAGCGTCAGCCTGACCTGCCAGGATGGAGTCGATTACCACTGTCCTGCAGTTGAGCCGCCTCCTGATTGCGTCTCTTTGGCTGTCCCTCGAGTGTCCAAGTTAGTCATTTGAGTGAGTCATTGCAGTCGCGGTACGCATTGTCTATCTCTCTTCCCCTGAGCATTTAATTCTCCTGTAAGCAGTTTTTTGCAGACTATTGAGTAGTGCGTGGGTTGGTAGACCGTGGTACATTGTTATGTCTTCCCCACTTTTCAACCCATCAATCCATTTTGCTGTCCGATTCTGGGAAGATTATCACTCGCTCTATTAACTACCTGCTCCTCCGGCAGTTTTTAGCAACCTGTTTTGTTAGTAAGTGTTCGCTTCACTGCCGCTGCTGTTGTTGCCATAGCTACTTTATGATCACACCAAATGATTCTATCCCCTTCCCAACATTCCGTTTATTCTCGGTGCAAATAGGCTTTTTTGATAAAGCGATATCTTTCACTTCACTCCCTGGTGTACAGCTGTTAGTTGAAAGTGGAACCTTGAAGCTGTGCATCCTTCGGATGAGGGGTGCATAACTCGCACTGGTTCCTGTGCAGATGCCATTTTGTGTACAATTCGACTATTTTGTTCCTGTCCAAACACGTCGCAAAGAGTAGTTACAAGGTCCCTAAAATTGGGTAACAGGTTGACTCTAAAATTATGCCGTCTCAGTTATCTGGTAAGGAGGTGCCTTCCCTTCAGCCAACAATAAAAAGTTTCAGCTGGTCTGTTTATCATTCTGCAGCAGCGCCTTCAGAACTGTCATGTACCATATTTTAAGCATCGTGATTGATGGCTATCCGATTGAACTGAAATGTGAGATATACGGATTTGTTTTGAAAAGGGAAGAATATGTTTGTATTGAGGACCTATTCGTTGCTTTTTTTTCTTTTGATGCAAATGCTGTTTCGCTCAGCGCGTGGATGAGATTTCATTTCAATAATAGCGGCTTGAGAATCCATTTGATGAATGCCTTTGCCCTTAATGAATTGGCATACGAATTAAAACAGAGGTCTGGGTGCTAACTTCGACACTGCAAAAGCCGAAGTCGCAAATTTCCATTGCAAAGCCTGCATTTTTACTCTAGTTGCCCAATTAAGTTGTTATTCGTGTCTGATAGGATACTACTTGCACACATCTTTAAATTATTACAACATTTTTAACGTCCTAATTTCGAATTGAAGATGGATGATCGTTGTTTAATTGGACAATGGGTCATTAGCATCTGTTGATCTAGCTCGCGCTACCTTTTGTCCCCAGCTCCCACTATTTGACCCCGCGAGTTAGATACATACCGGTTTGAATTTCAGATGTGGCGTCTCGTTTCCTGCAAAGGGATTCTTATAGAGATTAGCCGCGGTATTACTTTTAGGCTTTAGTCACGAAAGTAGGAGCTTTGTCTCCTACGTGCTGCTATTTCTGCACTTTTCATCTCTTTCGCGTACGTTCCCGCGCTCTCCAAACGTTGTTTGCAGGTGGTAATTAACCGGTTACCGAAATAGGCTTACCACTTCATGCCGCGTGTTTGGAAATCAAATTCATTTCGCATCTACTATTGCTGCCCTTGCCATCCAGGCTTGTTTACGTGCTAATATTAGTCCCCATTTTCTTTTTTTGCCATATTTACTGGCAGCAAGAAATGCCAAATAGCATGCTTCGGGCCATAAATAATTCATTTCCTCAAACATGCGTACTTTGAGCACACTTTGCTTTGGTGGGAAGTTCGTTTTCGCTGTTTATGAACATTAACAGTAGGTTCTCATGCTTGTATGTATCCTTATATTTCATTCATCTGACCGTTTCATCGTCGAATGTGAATGGCTGAAATTAGGTCTGTGGCCGTATTTTGAACTTTACGTTGTGTTGACGAGCCCTTCCATTGTTTGCTTTCCCCACAAGGTGTGCGGACAAAAATATCACCCCCTCCTCGTATCACTAACCTTGTCCTCGGACGTACGTACGTGCGTAGTTGAATAGGATGGCCTGTTTATCTACCTAACACACATCGCACTGTTGATTGTCCCCCGAAGCATAGTTTCATCTTCGGATATCCTTACCCTGAACAGTGCAAGGAAGATTAACTTCACCTCTGTATGTAGGGATAGATTAACCTCGAACAGGTAGATCTCTCCGTCGTACCACTTCACACCTCTTTCTTCGGGCAGCTTTGACCGAAATAGTGCTAAGTAATTCTGCCCACATTCCACGATTCACATTTATCAATTGTCTTTACTGTAACAACCCATCTATAGACTCATCTATCCGTTCATTCGATCCGGTCTTTATGTCAAGTCATCCCTCCTGTTTAAACCCACCTGGATCTAACTCTCCACTTCTCTCTTCCCCAAGTTCTGCCCTCGGACATGCGGGACCGTTTGCGTGAATTGGAGTATGGTTTGTCCTTGCGGGATGCCCTATTCCCGGCTCCCGAAATCCCTGGTTACTTGCAGTATCTGGCACCGGACGCTTGGGCCAAGGTGGGTGAGGTGAAGACCGCGCTGACGGAGGTGGAAATCCTCATTGGTGCTGCCGCTCACTGTATCTACTCTGTCACGGGGCCGTCCCGACCGCCCACCTTCTCTGACCGCGACTTCGCAATCGAGATGGCCTCTTTCGCCCGGTTCTACTCATCCTTTAAGGTAAGTGAGTGGGTGATTACCCAGGGATTCAGTAACAAGGTCCTTTCACCTGCAGTTTTTTCATCCTTTACGCCTCCTGCCCTTGAATCGTGCCTGAAAATTCCCATAATTCCAAAACGCAATCAAGAAGGAAGTAGTTTAACGTCACCTTTAACGTATTATGTATTTAATTTGATTTTGAGTAGTAGCAATTGGTCTACTAAAGTTTACTCCTCTGCTTGGTGCACTTCTGTCACTACTTTTTCAATCTTTGAAACCCGATTCCTAGTAATTCCCACAACTGAATCGTTCTTCGAAGTCCTTGTGACTACATACAGAAAACGTAGTCAGAAATATAACAAATAAAATAGGTGTTTTGAGTTTAGATGGGAACTGTTGGGTAAGGTTTAATTGTAGGCTTTATAAAAATCTCTGCTCGAGAGTTGACCCTTGTTTTTTAGGCTTATCTTAAATCGTTTCTTGAGGTCCTTGGAACTCAAAACATTTATCACGGATAGGGAAAATTGCTTTAAAACAACATGCAATCGTATTTTGTATGATTTTTTGGATTAGATGTTGAAGTATTGACAGGATCTTTACGTGGGATCTGTGCTATATCCGATCGTCCACGATAATGGTAGTTAACAGAATGTTTTGAGAAAATTTCTTTCGTCACTTCAGTTCGGTACATACCTGTCTTTACTCTGACTTGTTTTTTTTTTGAACCAGAATCACTTGTTAGTAGTTTGCTCACCCCCACGGAATTCAATAAGGCCTTCACAAAGTGGGGCGGGGGGAGAGGAGCTGGATTTGGTGAACAAAACGGGATGGTATATCATTCTGCCCTAGATACTATACGTAAATGAGCATCAGCGTTGTTCTCGTACCTATTGTCTGTAAGATTTGACCGCCTGCAACCCATTTCAATGATGGTGATTGAGCGCTTCAGTTTGATGCTTCTCTGTCACCGCTTCTCCTACCCTAACAGTGCATTCTGAATAATCGTAACTTTTAGTGGGGCTTTTTCAATACTGGCCACAAAGAGGGCTAAAGCGCAGAATACGGGAGGGAGAAGAGGAGTGGAATCGTATAATGCCATTGTGGAATCGAATCCTGACTTTGGTTTGCCGCAAATTAGACTAGTATTATTACATGCTTCGTGCGGGGGAAGAACCCGCCTGTTCATCTCTGTTCAGCAATGCTTAATGCTACGACGACCTTTAAAGAGAGGCCCAAATCGCACACGCATACGTCAGCATACACGTTGATGGTAGATGAGGTGGACCTAGAACGATGCCATTTCTAGTTATGAGAAAATCTAGTAACCTGAGAATGAATCGTGTTCCATGCTTCCCGTCTTGAATTTTCCATCTCTTCCTCCGTTGGCATTTCTATGCTTGGTTGTCGCATGCCATAAACCATGCGTAAGAGTAGTTTCATTCATCAACGGTCTGGTTTGTTATAATCGTTTCTGTCTTTTGCAGAATTACTGGTGCTGGTGGTGAATCAGAAGTACCTCTTTTTATGTATGTAACCGTATATCTCACAGCAATGTCTGCCCCCTACAGTGGTATTTTTTAGTTTATGTAGTTCTTTTCCGGTTACTCCCTTACAATTCGTGAGTAATGGTTAAAAGTGCGGTTGGATCCTCTCATTGAGGATTTTATTTAACTCATCCAATCTGGTTGTACCGATTGGATCGCCAAAATGTCCTCTCACTATTCACCGCAATTAGAGACGATAGTCTTGATGTGATTGCAAGTTGTTTACATTGGTACTGCATATTTCACTGTTTACATTCGCTCTAAATCGACATAGTGACTTGTCAGTGATCATGCACCTTCAAACTTACCGTTGCCATTCCACGTAAAGGGAGTATTTGTCCCTTTCTGCGTCACTGATAAGCTTAATCAGCCGAGTGGTTTAACTCCTACTCCGGGTCATTGCACTAACTTCAATACTTCTAGTCGTTTTCCGAAGCCCGAGTGTTCCATTATCTACTCAAACTCATCAAGATCTTCGCTACCCGTCTCCCAAAATGAGGCTGACACCTCAAATGCTTTCGCTTGGACAATTCTTCGTGTGTGCGTCCTTTTGGACAGTGGGGGTATTATTTTGCCACTCTTCACACGCAAATGTCTCGCCATCACGAAGAGACACTTGTGTACCATATGCATGCACAGTTAGTTGTTTTTTTTCTCCTTTTGCATAACAGACACTTTGTTCCGTCATGAAAATGGGTCTTGTCAAGAGTTGCTCACCTCCTTATGGGCATCGGCTCACCGTCGCCGAATGTGCAATTGACATTTTCTCTCGACCTCTAATTAGCTTTCAGGCGAAACAGTGGGCGTTTAGAAAATGGCTTCTCGCAAGAGCAAGTATTTAGCTAGAGAAAATTGCCTACGCCTGGAACATGGACGACTTTTGAACCCGACTGATAGGATGGCAATGCTTTTAAGGAATCGCTTCAAATAAAACACTGGAAAAGCAACTTTCGTGGTCACTCAAATCTGCCAGCCTTCATTTCAGTGATTGCTCCATGCGAGAGGCCTGTTTTAAACCGTCAATGTGGTGGCTTCAAGCCTTCCCCTTTCACGGCTTAAAGTTGAAGTTAGCATATTTTTTAAATCAACCGTTTTTTCAGATGTATTTACTTTATAACTTTTGGAAAGCACCATGAAAGCAATGAAACTTGATAAAACGGTTTTCTCATTCGTTTTTTCTCTTGCATTCCTTATACCTTAAAATGCAACAACTTCGAAATTTCCGGGGGAAGTTACATTTTCGTTTGCTTTTTATTGATGGATGATGTATGTATATATCTTTTAGAAGTTAATTTCACCATGTTTTTGTAAAAAAGCGTTCAAAAGTAAAAACACGACAACAGTTTCCTCCTCGTTAATCGAGCATTTCAACATTCGGACTCTGAGTTGAATTTTTGCGCATGTCGTTCTAATGTGTCGTAAAGCCTAGATGCTAGTTTTTCCGGGGAGTTTAACAACAGAGTGGACTTGCTGTGTGGGCGTCAGATTGGGTGGAGGTGAATATGGCTGTCGAGATGTTACACAAGCACTCCATATTCATGAAAAAGCTATTATCAACATGTGGGCACTCGCTGAAGCGCATTTTTTTTTTCTATTCGGTTCAGAAGTGGACATCGGATGCGGAGAGGCGAGTGCGAAATCTGGCTAAGGCGTCATCATGCAAGGTCCCCACCTCCGTTCACCGTCGCAACGGCGCTGCGAGTGATAGCGGCGCGCGTCGCCAGCGCTCTGGCGGGTCCGCCTCTCGCTCCTCGCGCAACGGCCATGTGAGTCCTCCCTCCTGCCACGTAGCTGGGGAAATCACTGCTGTAGTGCGTACTGCTGGTCTCCTTTCACGGAATGGGTCTCCTTTTGCCTGTCAGGGTAGCTCAATTCCGATTTTGACCCTCAGGAACCTTTTCGGGCATAAAATCAAGCGTTTTAAATTCCAGTGAACATTACTGACTCTTGAATTTATTCGTCTTAATCTTTCGTGCCTCTTCCGCTATTTACTATTTGCTTCTCTTAGGTGTTTTAATTCGAAGATTTTCGTTGTCGTTTCAAATGTGCGAAGCATTATTTTTAATGATCTTTGAAAAATTTACTCATCAAAGAAGTTGTAATTTTCGATTGAGTCATTCTTAACTTTTTCGACAGTTGTACATTTTGCTGCCACTGAGAGGGGCCTTTTATTTGGCAAGTAGCGTTCCGAGCAAACACCACTTGAAAGTAAATTACTGGCTTTATGATGACCGCATCTCAAACGCTCAAGTTGTTACCGCTACGCTGATGTTTTTTGAAGGGCTTTTGCCTTAACCTTGACTTGTTCTTATTACCCTTTCCAGGACGAACAGGGCAGCGACTGTAAACGGCACAACTCGCGGCATCTGAACACCGTTGGCATTATGGATAACATTCTTGCGGGTAGGAGGCCTTGTTGTTTATTCATTGCGCTGCCTTACTGCCATCATTCCATTCTTTGTTCTCATGAGCTCCCCTTGAGGTAATATGAAAAATTTACAGACTTGTTTTCATTCAATTTTTATCAAAATTGACTGTTTCGTCCTTTAGTGTTTAGAACGGGTGTATGTATATTATCGTTAGACAGCGATATGTTTCATGGCAGTTTGGCTCCAACGTTTTTTTTGTAAACGCCGCGTAATTCGCCTTTCAGACGAAATAAGTCGATTTTAACGTAACCTTTTTATGGATACGCTATTCCTCTAGGGCTGGACTCGGAGCCGCTGTACGCGGACATCCATAGAGTGCAAGTGAAGGGTCAGCAAAATGTCCCTTCAGCGGTCACTAACGTCGCCGCTGCCACTCCCTCCTCCCCCGCCTTCTCGTAATGCCGCGTGTACACAGCCTCAGTAGCCTTGTTCATCGCCTACCCTACCCTTCCCTTCCCCTTCTCAGTGCAATGGAGTTTCCACTCTATCGAATTAACATCGCGCTCTCCTCATGCGTCATTCACCGCATATTTTATCCATCCCTTCTTCCGTGCCTCTCGTTTCCTGTCTCTTCAACAGCTCCCAATGCTGCCTCTGTGTGTGTGTCTCTCCCTCTCGATTTATCAATCAGTGTATGCTACTCCCTTGCGCTTGTACATCTTCTTCCCTATCCTTCTTACCCGAAGTATTTGATGATAGCGTTCTTTGCTAAAAATCGCAATTGCCCTCTCTTTTTATCATATGAACATACAATGACCACCATCATTCTGTTGTCTGTTTATTTCTTTGGTCTACTTAGTGAGTTATTGATGGGTTGACATTCAGTGAGGCTTAGAAGGTATACAATAAGGCAGAACAAGGGTCCGGTTTTATAAAATGTTATCAGTTGATTGGCAGTGCCACTCTAGGATAAGCGGATGGCGCACGCGGCTGTTTCTGAGCCCCCGATAGTGGTTTCAGGGTGGTTTTATGACCACGAATCCCAATCACTTTGAAGATTATGCATGCTACTTGCTTTGATGAGTGATTTGTCAATGGGGTAATGGGTATGAAGTGTCCTGTAAAAATCATGTGGAATCCGACAGGTTAAGAACCTTGGACACTGGCAGAGTTATGCGGCATTTGGGTATTAGGTAGTGGTGCACGAAGGTGAGTCTGAAAGCATCGACTTTTCCCTACGGCGTGCTCTCTGATTAAGGACTTCTAGACTAGGTGCTATCCCCACTTGACAGTGCTTGCCTGGAATCGAAGCAGTAGAAAGTGCAGTTCGTGTTGGCATTGGCGCTTGACTGTCGATGAGTGAAGTAATACCTCGAGTCTGACGTAGAATGATGACAAGAAGGCTAATCAAAATTCATTAAACATGAGGGTGGATTTTTGGGGTGAGGGCATTTCACGTTAACCAGCACTGTTGAACCGCGTAGAGACAGACTGTCTGCCACTTACATGACGATATGATGGGCAAGTACTTGTTTGGATGCATTGCTTATGTAAATAGCCACAGCGAATGCCTGATCCACAGATGCAGCCCTTGTATTTTAAGCAAAATATTTAATTGTGAAATGTTTTTGGTGCACCTACCTCTCAGGGAACCGCGATTGACTTGGACTCAACCGTTTTTTTGCAAAGTATTTCAAATGCAGCCGGTAGTAATTCCATTGGCATAAATTTTGCATGCAATTAGCTGGGCCCAGAGTTTAACGGCCAACAACGACCCTTTTGCCCCAGTTGTCTCTGCTACATCTAGGGTATCGCTATCGGTGTGGGGTCAAGAGGATAACTAGCCATGTAAACGGTTTTTTGGATGATAATTTAATTTCTGACCCTTTGAGTGTAATCACAGGAAAAAGTGTTTCCTTTTAATTCACACTTTCTCATTAATGCACTTTTGTGAGAGAATTAGACCCCATCCTGAAATTTGTTTATCATTTCAGGATAGACGCACAAGAGGTATTGGGTTATTCCCTTGGATTAAAAAAGTTCTACTTAACTTTGAAAGTAATAATACTTCTCTCCTATATGCAATTTTCATCGCCCAGAAGGGAAATAAAATGCAGTAAAACCACAACAAGTACAAGCCGAGAATTTACATCACAGCCTTTTTATCATTTCGAGAAAACTACACTATTGCAACACCAGTAGACTCATGTAAGTCAAGTAAGGGTAACCGAGCTAAATGTGAACGCCTGCTATTCTACAAAATAAGGAAGGCAGGAAAAGAAGAAGAAGGGACGTCTATGTGCCTATCCGATTGAGGCTTTAGGTTTTTGGGTGGGCCACACCTTGGTAAAGACCTCCATGAGGCTGTCGTAGATCACGAATGTGATGCAGACGTCCAGACACACCCGTGTCAATCGTGGAACCGTGCCTTTATAAAAGCTTGAAGAAATGACACAATTAGGGAAAATGAATTTTGAGAAGAAACAGTTGTGACCTACGGTATGGTAACCAGATGGAAACTGAAGGAAAAAAACCATTACCAAGAAAAATACTCACGCCATAGGACCCTCTTCTCGAAGAATTTTGAGGGCACAATGGAGAGTGTTCTTGTATTTGTGAGCCTCAAAACCCTTCAAAGAAAGAAGAATTCATAACAAAATGATCAAAACACAAATTACTTAGTGTGTTTTTAGCATTTTAAAGTACTTATGGTTTTTAGTAGCGGAAAGCAAGGTGTTGAAATTGTGTTGTTAACTCCAGCATTTTCGAAAGGCGACTTTTTGAGATCTCAATGCACCATGCATACTGATACAGTGTTTGGTCTGCACCAAAATTGTTCAGCGTTTCACCGTAAAGGTATCTAGGGGACTTGCCATTTCATCAGTTACGTTTTAGTTCTAGCTGAGGATGTGTGAGCTGGAATGTTAGCCCATCCGAAGGCAAAATTGATGAGTCTTAGTATGCACTTATTTCTCGGGGATAATCCCGGTGATCCTTCTAGTAATTAGCGTAGATACTATTTAATCGAAGAAAATAGTGATATCCTACGAAGAACACGAAAGTCGTACATAAATTTGGACCGAAATGTGTGTATTTACTTCTACCGTGTGGGTGGAAATCCTTAATATTTAAACCAATGCATGCAAAACCAATCAGAGGTGTTAATTTTTGATACACGAAGAGTAGATATACATGCTTGCACAGGAAAGGTTAAAGTGACTCTGAAAGGCACTCCAAAGGCAAGCGCGTGCGAGGCCAATTATAACAGGGAAGAGAGAAGAGGACGGAAGCAATCTCGACTTCCAAAGCTTTTTCAGCCATTTACCAAGTGTCACAGTGCCTTTAAAACGACAATATCTCGATCAAATCGTGATGGGTTATTGGGAAGTAAAATGTAATGACCGTCGCCCTTATTTGAACGAATGACTTTGTAAATAAAAGAAAATTGTTCCACCAAGCGCTTATGTGCCATGTTTCAGCCGGCAGAACGTAAAAATTTTGATGCAAAAATGCAAGCAAATCAAGTCATCGTTCAGCCTCATTATGAAAGTTTTGACGAAAAGGCACACCTTTGCCATCTTAGCTACCAGCTATACTGACCTTAGGACTGTGACCTCAAATGAGGCTAGATGTCTCATAGCAAAAGCCAAGAAGAAAACCCACTTCTTTTCGATAAAAGAAAATAAATGGTTTTGAAAATCTGTGCACTTAAGCCTTATGGATCGGTTAAACCTGCTAACCTCTTTCCTACAATGTCCCATGTTTAATCTGACAATTTGCAGTTGGGGATTAAGTACGATTACCATTAACACCCACGATCGAGGATGCGTTGGTCGGAATGTATCGAGACCAGAGTTGTAAAGTCGGGAGGCGCTTTAAGTACCATTTTGAGTGAAGGACGCCTAGTATTCCTGTTTTCAGATTTATGAACTATTTCCCATTTCAACAATGAAAAGCTGTCTGCCTTCCAAAGTAATCTAAGTTACGCTTTAAGACCTACCTTCGATTCCTTCTGATATTAAACTAAAACTGTTATGACAAATTAAAACACCCAGCGAAAGCCTTGCC